TGTGCTTCTTTCATCCTTTTTCCCTCCGAATTTGACAAACGAAAAGCTGATAGTGTGATAGTCTCAGGAACAAACATCCAAATACATCCAATGCTTTCCGTCATGTTCAAAATTTCGGCAGCTCTGACAGCTGGACAGGAGTGCCGAAGCTGCGGGTGGGCCCGTTTTCTTCAAGCCTGACCGTGGCAGCAGCTACATCAGGTTCCAGATGTTGTGTTATGGACTTAACATGGCGGTGAGATTGGTGAGATCGGCTTGATGACATACCTGGGAAGGGAGCCACGCGGCAAAGAAGGGAAAGTCGGCAAAGGCCAATATGGAGGCGGTGTGATTTCTTTCCGAATTTGCTTTGGTACAAGCAGAGAGTAGCAACTGTGAAAAGGACCGATTAAAGGCGAGCTTTATTGCGGTGTTGCTCATGATGAAGCAAGACCGTAATTTCAAAGTCTGTTGATTTCAAACGCATACAGGCATACAGGTGTATACTATTGTATACTTGGGTCAGATGGGAGGCATGCAAAGCACTGCAAACCACTCCAAAAACAAAAGAAACAGCTTCATGCGTACAGAGAAGCATGTCCTTTGAGCTGATGAAATCCCGGGTCTCACCAAGACATCACAAGACTATGCTAGGCGAGAAAGGCGAGAAAGGGAGAAACGAAGCTAAGGTGGGAAAAACCTCACTGCTCTCGTCGGACAGACTGCAGGAATCCACAGAAGTCCACAACAGGCATTGCCAATATTGCCATTGACTTCATGACAGTGCAAATAGCCATAGCCATGGCCTGGCAACGGAAATGCGAGCTGAGATGATAATCATGGCATTCCCCCTTTGTTTTTCGGTGCTGGACACTGGACAGTCCAATTTTGCGCACTCCTAAAAGAATCGTTTTCTGGTATGCTCAGGGCAAGGGTAGAAGACCTGTTGGAGAAGGGGACGCAGCCACGGGAGGAGGAAGGGTGTCCTGAGCGTACTGACAAGTTCAATCAGCAGATCCAATGTTTTCTCGCTTTTGAGCATGCGAGCTTGTGAGGGTCTTTCCGGCAATACATGTCTCGATTCTGTCTCTCTTTGCTTCCCTACTTGTACTTAACTTGTTGTGTTCTGATTTGCTGGTTTATTTTCTGCATGCAATTTCCGTTTTCCATAGTTTGTCATCTATTCATATCTATTCAATATGATTTCCTCATACGGTTCCAGATTTTTATCGGGTTCAGTCTTCTCAATATCATCTCCCTTTCGTTTGCCAGGACGGTTGAATCAACCTACCGATGAGCAACCATCTCCACCCGTGGCTGGTACTGCTGAAAGTTCCTGATGCTTGGTCTGTAGCTAGCTGCCATATGAGGAGGGAATAACCCTCTATCTAAATGCAGCGGATCAGACTGTGAACTGCAGCCCTTCACCTACAAAGCTGGCCAAAACATGACATCATTCGCCTGACAATGTCCACGTCGCTATGGGAACAAAGGAATAGTGCCTCCAAGATCCAAGGGTAGGGTCATATTAAGAGCGAACTCTACCGGACATGAATTGATTCTGTTGCTGTGTAGCCCTGCATTTGGTTAGTCTACGCCGTGCAAAAGCCACGCAGACGTGTAGGAGAGCAATGGCCAACTGCATGGAACTTGAATTCCTCGCTTTATACACCTTGACAAACGGTTGAAGATCCGTTCCCCATGGCCCCATTCCGGAGCACATTACGACAAGTCCTGAATAAAGGCTTCTGCTTGCTTCAACCGTGACAGAAGGGGTGTAACTGACGTTCAATATGTTTGCAGATTCCTGGCATGAATGCTGGGACCTATAAACCAGACCTGCTGACCTGAACTTAACTTCAACATGGTGCCATGACAGTGAGAGGGCAACATATGCCATCATATGCTGACTTGGAATCAGAAAGACATTTTGACACACAACTGCTTGATGGAATGCTACTGAACAGTTTGCCTGCAACATGAGAGAAGTGCTCTTTCTGGCACTGCAGCCTACCACAGTATCATGTTGATCCAACCTCAGAGCCATAGCCGCCACAGCAAAAAGTTGCAAGAATAATGTTCTAAGGTAGGCAACTGCAGGCAGACATCGCATGTGGTTTGGAGGAATGCCGCTTCAAATGGTCTAACCTCAAACTGTTTGATTTGCAACAAAAAGTTGCAAGTTTCAGGCCTCGTCCACTGCTGACAGGGCCTTTTTCTTTGACGGCAAGTTGCACTGGGTTTCGGTCCAAACGAGAACCATGTACTCTCTGGGCCGGCCTCTGGGCTCTGATCTCGCCTCGTTGTTGATACGAGTCGCACACTTCCTTGCAATGGTCGTTGCGAGCCTCGCAAAAATCGCGGATTTTCTTGGGTTGGATGATGTTGGATGATGTTGGATGCCTTTTGATCTGTTTCCAGCAGTTGTGCATACCAAACATACCAAACACCTTTCCATGAGACAGGTTGATTTGGAATGCATGACTATTGCATCGCTTATCGTCAGCCTCTAGCCACTGCTCGGCTTGCAGCAACTGTGCTGAACATGGATCAGATAAGAGTAGACGCATCCTTTTTGCCACTTTTTGCCCTTGTATGCATCACCATGTCCCTCAAAATCACATCGATAGTGGATGATGGGATGCTTGCAGTTCTGTAGTCACTCAGATTGAGCTTGTGTGCCTTGTGTGCCGTTTGCACTAGCCCTATGTGTGGCCATGTTTCGGTCTCTGGGGCGATTCGTCAGAAAAACAAGGAGGCGAGATTTCGCAGGCAGAAACTTCTCCTTGCTTTGCAAATGATATTGAAGCCGAAGCAAGTCAAGCTAACCTGTGATCAAATAAGCGCTGAAAGTGAAGCCACTGTTTGTGAGGTATCTAACTTGTCATTCAAGTTAATGAATCACATTTTACATGTTGTATTGTTGCATCATTGAGAAATATTGAGAGGAGAGATGCTTCCCGGACCTGGCAAAGCTTCAGAGATGCGAAGGTCGGCTTTACACTGCAACAACTCGTGACATCTTGTGGGAAGTGAAGCTCTGTTCCCAGGACTGTCATTTGCTGCTTTTGCTGCTTGGTGACCAGGTGATCAATCCTTTTTCGGAGTACCAATGGACTTCCCAGCCCTATCCAAGCTACAACATGCCGAGGGTGCGCAGAACAACCATGCAGCTGTGTTTAACGTGTGCAGCTTTGCTCACAAAAGTTTAGAGATGCAGCATCTCTCGAACATCAAACATCTCAGAGGTTGCCCGCGATGTCAGACCCCACAGGACGCTTGGGATGTTTTGGGCAGCGGCCAACAGTTCCAACATGAACTCGGCATATCTCAGCACCGGTAGTACCCGGTAGGACCTTGAAGGCCATCAGCCACTGCGATGAAAAGGGCTGGTGGCACATCCTGGATGCCCAAGGCAACTGAAGATACTGAGAAGTGCTGCGATGCCAAAAATCACATTAATACGAATTTATAACATGGATGATTCATGGATGCTAGGAGCTGAAAGGCCCACAGTTTATGCAATGACTAATGCTACCTGTCATAATGTCATAATACCTACCACTGTCTATCACTTCTGTGACTAAATACAGCATATGTTTTGGGATTTGCTTCGTTTGTTTCAGCAGCTGGGATGCTGAATATGGGGATGATGCAAGGCAGAGATGTTGGCAAATTGGCAGCATTTGCATCCAGACTGCTTCAAGGAAAGCATCGCCGGGGTGCTCAGGGAAGTTTGGCCTGTACTGGATCCGGTTCATGTCTGCCCGCATGTCACTTTGGACCTGCCGAGACTTACTCGACCATGATAGATATGATAGATAATATATATATAGATATGGGCTCAAACGAGGATATTCGCCCAAGATTGGCTCGGCAAATCCTTGGGATCCTTGGCAGTGATGACGTCGCTTTCAAACTCAATGTTGGACACCCGGAGATTAGAAGAGATGATCTATGGCGGCTTCATATGTGGTGGATGCCTTTTGGGAGTCCACTTGGCCTTTGGAAAGGCGGCCAAAGGAAAGGGCGGCCGCATTGAGAAGATGTTTGTAGAGTTTCAGCGGAAAGCCTTCCACATGATCGGCGGCTGCATCATATGTAGCTGCTATCATTGGGGCATCAAACACAAGTTCATCAGGTCAGCATTCTCTCCAGAAACTGACAGCACAGCAATGGATGGAGGAGCGGCCTTTCTGGCAATCTCCTTTGTTTGCTGGATGGTTGAGGCATCCCGCCTGACTATCCCTGCTGTTCAGAGTTGGTACCTGAAGACCTTCAAGGGCCTCATTCGACAAAAGGAGCACAGCAAAGCTGCTGGCATTGCGTACTTTCTGCCTGGGGCCTTGGCTGCCATGATGGCGGCACCCAGCCATTTCGCCATTCTTGGTATCCTCTTCTTGTCTGTGGGCGATGCGGCTGCTTCCATTGGCACAGCTGGAGGTTACATTCCAGTTGGGACGTCCTCCAGAAAGGTGGAAGGCAGCATCGGCTGCTTTTTGGTGTGCACGGGTCTAGCCATCTATGCTGGGCTTTCAACCCAAGTTGCCTTGATTGCTTCGGGTTTTGTGACATTTGGGGAGGTGCTGGCCGAAATCATCGGCCTGGATGACAACTTCGTGATTCCCATGCTGGGAGTACTCGGGGTTCGCATCGCACTATTTCCTCAGCTGGGGCAGATGGCAGCGGTCATGTGTGTTGGCTTGGGCATTGGCGTGGCACTCGCAGCAATTGTGGGTTCTACCACTTCCAAGGACAAGTGAAACAAATTAGGAAGAAATAGAATAGCAGTCTGACTGGTGGAGAGCAGACAACTGAATCTCTCTGAAACTTAGAGTTTGTGCATGGAAGGAGCTTTGTTGAAATCCTGAAGGAAACTAACAGAGTTCCGGGTTCCAAATCTCAATTTCACGCTTTGTGGAGAGGCTAAATCCACAGGCGTTGGAACCTACAGAAGGCCAACTGGGCTTCAGTTGCTGGCTATCAAAGAGCCACTGCAACACCCAGGATCAATTCAAGCGCACAGGCGCAGGATGCTATATGGGCTTAATAGGCTGGCTTCCCATTAATTTCTGTCTTTGAAGGATTGTAAACGTGTTGGTTCTGCAATATATAGGTTGATTTGTTTGGGAGGCACAGCAAATCGTCTGTAATGCACATGCCTGTGGAACTGTGCCTCGTTGGTGAGAGCAGAAAAACAGGAGTCTGGGATAGTTTGGACCTTGCATTTCTCAACAGATGGAATGCCCCTTGTTTCCAGGAAGTGCTAGCAAACTAAACAAGGGGCGAAAGACATCGTTAGGTCTTGATTTCCAGGAAGTGCTAGCAAACTAAACAAGGGGCGAAAAACATCGTTAACAAGCATCAGTGTGCTTTCATTGCAGGAGAGTGTTTGCCTATCTTGCTGTGCTTTCATCTTGTGCTGGTTTCAGAGTTAGAGCACCTTTGCGCAAGGTTGCGACTATGCACCCGATCGTGTCAAAGGCCTCGCTGGGTAGAGGATGTAAAGGCACTTTCAGATGCTGGTCTAGGGCCGACTTTGCCACAAGTGAAGCTGACAATGCCAGGTGACTCTGTGATCATCGTAAATGCCATCCACGTTTTCTTCCCTGGCCATACCTGGGTACGGCACTGTTTGAGTTCTAACTTTTTTTTGACGCTCCTCCTTTGCCTGTTTCAGCCACACCTTTGCAAGGACACCAAAATCTACAGGTTTTGGCGCAACAGAAACTCGCCACGAAGTTATTTTGGATGTTCATGGGAGGTCACCGTGTCAGACCGCGTTAGACCGTGTCAGACCGTGTCATTCGGAATTTTCCTGCTCAGCTGCTGCCCAGCTGCTCTCAGGAAGGACGGATCCCCGTGGTGCAAAGGCTGGAGCCCTGGCTGGAGCCGTCCGGCTGTGCAAATCCTGCAGTGCAGAGATTGCTGAGGTTCTTACAGCCACAAGATTGATGATGCTCAATCCTTCCATCATCATTTCACAGGCGAGGTGGACAAATGATATATACGTATTATATATATATATTATGTATGTATGTATGTATATATATATATATATATTATGTGTATATATATATATATATTATGCACACACGCACACATACACATAATATAATAATGAGTTTTACTTTCTAATCACTCCCAAGACTCCCAATGCAGTCATTGCTTGCTCAGGCGGTCAAAGGCATGTTGCCAAATAATCTACTGCGAAACAATTTTCTTCGCAGGCAGGGAGAGGAACGAAGGACTGGTTTTGAAGACCCCAAATCTTCACCAATCCACATGCATCCAGGCTCTACTGCTACCCTGGTGCTATTCATCCGTGCAGCACTTTGTTGGATTTGATCAAAAGCATTCAAGAGCTGAAATTTGTACCTTAAATCAAGAACTCAGGCATTGGGGAATGCCTCAAGTGATTGTTCCAGTGGAGAAACGGCAAGAGTCTCAGAAAGGTCACGTGCAGGATCAAAAGAATAGTGACGCGTTCTTTTTCCTGGATTTCTAGGCCTGAAATGATTCCAGACGCCTTCACATTTGAAGCCGAGGTGCATAACTTTCGTGCTCTGTACATGCTAAAGAAGTAGTGGGACTTGGGAAGTGCTCAAAAGCACAACTTGTTATGCAGGTACGCCAATCAGAGTAATTCCTTCTGAGTCTATGGCCTCGCCTTCTGATAATATCCACGGAATTTTGCGTGGCAAAATCCCAGCAAAGAGAAAATGTCATGAGTCCTGAGTGCTGAGAAGCAGATGCGATTGACCAAACGATCACAGATGCATACAGCTTCGTTGTGTTTGTGATTTGATCTGACTGGTTTGTCCTTCATCCGTGGGCCATCATAGCTCCATCAATGGGAACGAGGGAGTAGGAAAAGTCGTGCCATGTCAGCTGAAGCAACAGCATCAAAAACAGCGGGGGCCCGAACATGTATCTTGAGGCAGACCAGTATGACTCAGTATGACCAGTATGGAGTTGATTTAGATGTGCATTTCAAATAATTTCAGGTGGCATTGGTCAAGCACACCCAGGTGGTTACGAGAGAGACGTTGGAGCCGCCCAGACATGCGGTTGCAGTGACGTCGGCCCCTGAGGATTCTTTGGAGGGAAAATGAGGTGATGTTTCAAAATGTATCAAAGCTATACTGGAGAGGAGTGAGTGTGAGCACGAATCTAGGTGATTTTCAATGCAAACAGTGTCGACTTGCAGTGCAAGACCGTAAGCCTTGCCCCAAGGTACATTTGTGGAAACTGTGGGTGTTTGGTCGAGATCAAACCAAATGATGCCATCAGATGTCGCGAGTGTGGGTGCGCCCTTACAAAATCAAATAAAATCAATCCAAGACCGAAACACTCGAACTCCTCATACCGCGGGCCATGTGAAGCGTCGCAACAGAACAGGTACAGAATCCTCTTCAAAATGCGCTCGAAGAAGCCTATGCAGTACCAGGCCACGCTGCGTTGATGCCCGGGATTTGTAAACTGGTGGCCTTGCAATGCTACGCTGTGAGGCAATCTGAGCTTCGAGTGCCAAATCTGAGCTTAGCGTCCAAGATCGAAACAAGATCGAGATGAGAACATAACTATATTGAAATCCCAGCGAAAGCAGCAAAATTGCACAGGGACCTTGCGAAGCCGAAAGTGATGCACATGACATGCCATGTTCTTTAAGGGGCTCTTGACCAATCAATATCAATCATCATATTTGGTCAAGGATCTTAATGGTAGCAGAGCTCTGGTTCAAAGCACACGGTGGCAATGTGGAAAAAGCTCCATCATCAAACGAGGAGCCAGGCGATCCTTGGGAGTGCCATTTGGCTCTCTACCTTGGGTTTCAATACAAAGAATCGGATGCAAACTCGAAAGGCTTTTTCTTTTCAGAAAAGCTTTTGTTATTGAGCAATATTTTGGCAGGGAATTGTCAGAGAGATCGGTGATGGACCCAGTTGAATTCTCATTCCAATTTCATTTGGATGAAGGTCAGAGCTTCGTTTGATGAGCTTGAGAACTGGATTCTCGAGGCAGAGACTGTGCATGTCTTTTGAATTCAAGCTGTGATTGGCCTCGGGTCGAAACCCGCTGAGACCTTTGGAGAAAGAAGATTTGAACATGACGAGTCAGAAGAGGCAACCAGACCTGCAGCTGGATACAGACTTGTACTATGGGCCATATGGGATTGCTTACGGGTCAACAAAATTCAGTGGTCAGCTAATGTCTTGAATTAGCTCCTATCGCTGGCAAAGTTGTACGAGCTCCTGTCTTTGCATCTCAGTATTGGCCTTTTTTTCCATTGTAGTGCCCATGTTCGTTTTGCGATGAGACGCGTTGCGCTTCTCTCTTACAATCTCTTACACACGAATGCATCTATTTGGGTTTGGTTCCTTCACTCTGTTTTTCCTCTTGTCAAGTGTCGCAAATGTGACAGGAAATCGCACTAGAGGTTGCTAAGCGCCGCCGCGGAATGCGTTTTTTTACCGCTGGGCGGCCAAGGTTGGCTGCATTCCCAAACTTGTAGCTGAACAACAGCTTGATATGAGTATTGACATGTGTTGAAGGGTCCGGTTGCTGTTCGTTTCCTTCACAGGGACAGGAAAAGATTTGCGTCGATCTTGTTCCCGCCTCCTGGCAGCATCATTTGTGAGTTCAGATTTTCTCGGTGAGTGCTTTTAAATCTCCGCGAAGATCTTTAACCTTTAAGTTCCTCTTTCAAGCTTTTTGGAACAGATTTGGTGAGACCTTGGGGGATCAGTGAAGGGACGACTATGCAACGAGGATATTCCATGGCGATCCAAACGAAGCGCTCTATGAGGAGGCTAAACACAGTATGTTGATGTTGCAACTAGCTGCAACTAAGCATTCTTGGTTGAGATGGAGCCTAAGCCTGACATTCAAACAAAATGAACATGCCGTGTTTGCATTGCATTTCGTGCGGTTCAGTCCAGACATTCGTATTTGGCGAGGCTTTTCAAGACGTCCTTCGCGTGGCTGGAGTTTCAGTGAAACCTCAATCCAGGCCAGGCATCTCCGGCTCTGATGCCCTTGTGAGCCTGGAAGACATTAAAACATATCGAAACATATCGAAACATATCGAAATGGTGTTCCGAAGCGGAAACACGACTCGCAAGCTCTGCACGCTCCGCAAATGCCCTGAGGCACAAGCTCTCCTTCAGAGGTGGTATTCTCTACTTCACTGCTGACAGCCAAGGAAATTTGCACCCCGGAGGGTTAAAGCAGTGAAGCGGCCAAATCCATTGAAATAGACAATTTGGACCTTAGTTGCCTTTTGCTTCATCCATAGCAAGCTAGATCATTTCAATGAATCGTTTTTTAAACTTCCTCCCTCTGACCGGCATATTTTGTTTCTGGCCTCTCTCCCCTCTGCTTCAGGTATGCCGTTGTCGCTTCTGACGACTTTCCCATGGCTTCGGTGTACGAATTTTTGGATGAAATGCTGGAGGCAGGACATGGTGGGAATCGCCGCCCTGCCGCTGGTTTCAGTGCCCAAGTGGCCCAAGTGGCCCAAGTGGCCCAAGTGGCCCAAGTGGCCCAGTTGCCCAGGTCTATGAAAGCATTGACGTGGCAAGTGCTCTGGACCAGGCCTCGCCCGGACCCGTGGAACTTTGCACAGCTGTGTCCTTGGATTTGAGTCAACAAGATTGGAACTCAATGGACATATAAAACAAACGCGGAGAGGCCGAAGAGTCATTGTGGGCAGAGAAGCAATTTGTGGAAGATGCGCATGGATCTCAATTTGGGCACTGGAAATCATCAAACCAATGCATCGCTTTGATGTAACTGGTGCAGAAATAAGATGCTACAGTAGGTTTGGCGTTCGTGAGCTGGCTTTGACGAGCTGGAAAAAGCGGCCCCACTGGCAGATTTGAAGATTCAAAGAGGGCCTCCAATCCTTCAAGAAGTCTATACAATAATACAAGAGAGCACAAGATCTAGAAACATATATTAGACGATAATTTGACAGGTACTGTGGTCATTTGAACCTGGCAGGGTCAGACCTGGAGACGGTTCTTCATTTTACTTCGAGGCAATTTGTTGGCATCTCTGTACGCTTTCTTTGCAAGCGACGGTCCATGGTCTGATTTTCTTTCGAAAGTAATTGTCCCGATGCAAGTGAATTCCAATGTGTTTGAGGAAGACACGCCAGACTTTTCCGAGTTTCAAACGCGTCTTTGAAGACGCCCAGACTGCCCATACCAACCTGAGCAAGTCGCAATTGGACACATCGAAGCGATCGAAGCGATCGAAGTCTTGGTCCCGAAGGATGAACATGAGCGATCGGCGAGCCAATCTCAACACCTTCACATGGCAGACACTTTCAAGGGCACAAAGTGGCTCTTCCGTGGAACAAACGGTGAAAACAGATGCTCATACTGAAGTGTGGGAACCTTTGATCGCTGCAAGACGTCAATTTCAGATCTGATGATATTTGAATCACATATCATTTATTTGGGACTTGAACGCATGTAATTATATATTTTGACGTGTATCTGATTGATGTATATGAGTCGCGGTCAAAATGGTTGAAGACCACTTTAGTGTTTGCGCAGGTTTTCTTTGTCATAGATGTGCATGAAACACCCCCAAAAGCGAAAATTGATAATCGCAACTACTGAGATCTAAAGGATTTTGACGGGAGCTCACACGAGTGTACTGTATATTGTAGAGCTTCGCACACCGGCGACGCCGGTAGGGGTCGGGGGAGGGAAAGAGAGAGGGGGATGTCATCTGAACTTGCGAACATGACATGCTGAGGGTCGGCGGCCTATCTTGGGGCTATGTTGGCCCAGCTTGGGGCTATGTTGGCCCATCTTGAGGCTATGTTGGCCTATGCCTATGCGCACAAAGTGTTGTAATTTACAGCATTTTGCGCTGTGAGATGGCAAGAACCCGTGTAAATACAACAGTTTTAGTCCCCGAAAGTGGCTAAAACATTCTTATTTACAGAGTTTCGTTCACATCACGATCTTCGATTTTTTGAAAAACGTGTAAATACCAGCGTTTGTTACATGCAGCAAGACAAAAAATCGGTTCAAAAAGTGCAAAGAATGCTGTAATTTACAGGGGAGTGGCCCCGTCACAAGCAAAAAACTGCGTAAATACCAGCGTTTCGGCGTCCAAAAGTTGCCAAAACACCGCTATTTACAGTGTTTCGTGCCTTCCACGTTTGCTTGAAATTGCAGAAACATTGTAAATACCAGCATTTTTTGCGATCAACCCGCCAAAAATGCTGTAATTTACAGTGTTTTTTTCCTTGGCTTTCAAAAAGACTGGTATTTGCAGTGTTTTGTGCATCTCGGGTCCAAAAAGTACTGGTATTTACAGCATTTTCTGCGTTTGTGCATGGCTCCCGCCAACGACGTTAAAACGCAAAAATGTTGTAATTTACAGCATTTTGTGACTTCCGAAAAGCGAAAAATCGCCCGAAAAATGTGTCAAAACGGCATTTTTTTTCCGATTTTAGGACCTCCAAAACGCATCTTCAAATTTTACCATCTTTTTTCCCACCCCGAACCCCCAAAAACGTGAAAACCCCAGCAGGCTGAAGGATTTTCGGGGAGGGTCGGCAGAGGGTCGGCGGCAGGGGCGCGCCCCCGGGTAGCTAAAGCTATGCTTAGCCACCACCACCGGACGGCATCGCCGGATTTTTGGGCTGACGCCCCTCGTCGGCTCCGCCGGACCACTCGGCCCTCCATTTCATCGCAGTGTGGGCGTGAAAGTTACTGAATGAGGACCTGCTTCAGAAATATATTCCTTAGGTTTTTTGGAACATATTTGTTGGAATAGACGATTTTTTGGGGAGCAAGTGAGTTCCCGAAAGCTCCTGCGAAGGGTTTTTCCTAAAGAACTGCTGCCGATTTCAACTTGTTACTTCGTGTAAAGGCGCCTCTGTGCAAAGACTTCTCTGTGTAAAAGCTTTTGTGTGTAAAAGTTTCTGTGTGTAAAAACCACTTTGTGTAAAGACTTTTTTGTGTAAAAGCTTCTCTGTGTGAAAGCACGTCTTTGTAAAGATTTCTCTGTGTAAAAGCTTCCGTGTATAAAAACTCTCTGTGTAAAGGCTTCTCTGTGTAAAAGTTTCTGTGTGTAAACGCGTCTGTGTGTTAAAGCTCTCTGTGTAAAGACTTCTTTGTGTAACAACTTTTGTGTGTAAAAGCTCCAAGACGTTTGTGTGAAAAAGCTCCTCAGAGGAAAGACTTCTCTGTGTAAAACCTTCTGTGTGTAAAAAGCTACTCTGTGTAAATGTGTAAAAGCCCCTGCGTGTGTAAAAGCTTGCTGTGTGTAAACGCTTTGGTGTGTAAACGCTCCTCTGTGTAAAGGCTTCTCTGTGTAAAAGCTTCTGTGTGCAAACGCGTCTGTGTGTAAAAAGCCCTCTGTGTAAAGACTTCTTCGTGTAAAAACTTCTGTGAGTTAAAGCTCCTAGACGTTTGTCTGCAAAAGCACCTTAGAGTAAAGACTTCTCTGTGTAAAACCTTCTGTATGTAAAAAGCTCCTTTGTGTAAAGACTTCTCTGTGTAAAAGCCCCTGTGTGTGTGGGTAAAAGCTTCTGTGCGTCTCCTCCCTCCAGCTTTCTTTCGGGTCACGCTGTCGTCCAGTTTCAATCTGCAACGTTGTTTCTTGTGGAAGAGTGCAAAATAATGCAAAGAACATGTGAAAGCATCGCGCGTTTAAAAATTGAACATAAACAGCGCACAAAGTGCTGTAATTTACAGCATATTGCGCTGTCAGCTGGCAAGAACCCGCGTAAATACCACAGTTTTAGTCCCCCAAAGTGGCTAAAACACTGTTATTTACAGTGTTTCGTTCACGTCACGATCTTCGACGCGTATCCAGCGTTTTTTGCGTTCATCAAGGCAAAACATCGGTTCAAAAAGTGAAAAATGCTGTAATTTACAGGGGTTTGGCGCCGTCACGGGCAAAAAACTGTGTAAATACCAGCGTTTCAGCGCCCAAAAGTGGCCAAAACACCGCTATTTACAGTGTTTCGTGCCTTCCACGTTTTCTTGAAATTGCAAAAACAGTGTAAATACCAGCATTTTTTGCGATCAACTTGCCAAAAATGCTGTAATTTACAGTGTTTTTTTGCTTTGCTTGCAAAAACACTGGTATTTGCAGTGTTTTGTGCATCTCGGGTCCAAAAAGTATTGGTATTTACAGCATTTTCTGCGTTTTTGCATGGCTCCCGCAAAAGACGTTAAAACGCAAAAATGCTGTAATTTACAGCATTTTGTGACTTTCGAAAAGTTGAAAATCGTCCGAAAAATGTCTCAAAACGGCGCTTTTTTCCGATTTTAGGTACCCTCCAAACGGGGGGGGGGAATGCTCTTGAAGACGCTGATGAGCGACCCGGATTCCGGCCAAAAAGCTCTCCCCCACCCTCCTGAAGGATTTTTGGTGTTTTTCGGGGCCCGGCGTCGGAGGGTCGGCGGTTTGGGGCGCGCCTCACCTTAGAGCTCTAGTCGCTCTGGGACGCTCGTAGGGCAAGCCACTCGTGGGGAGCCGGCGGAGCCGAATTTAAGGGCTGCCGCCCCTGCCGCCGACCCCGGACAAAAAAAAAGGTACTTTTCTTCCTTTCCTAGTTTTCTTTTTTGGTCCAGATGCCATTCGTTGAATTTTTTGTCACGGAGATGCTTCCAAGTCTATCTGTATAGAAGGACAAGCTAGTTCCAAAACCACGCCAAAAAACCCCCTAACGTGTCGTCTGAAATCCTATAGAAAAACATAGAAAAACAGCATTTTTCGAGAGATTCTGTTGCCTGCGGCTGCTAGCAGTAAAACAGCTTCGAAAAAATCACCTCCCGGGGGCGAAACACCATGCCTCTGAAAGACGAGCTAGTTCCAAAACCACGCCAAAAAACTCCCTAACGTGTCGTCTGAAATCCTAGAAAAACGGCATTTTTCGAGAGATTCTGTTGCCTGCGGCTGCTACCAGTAAAACAGCTTCGAAAAAATCACCTCCCGGGGGCGAAACACCATGCCTCTGAAGGACGAGCTAGTTCCAAAACCACGCCAAAAAACACCCTAACGTTTCGTCTGAAATCCTAGAAAAACAACATTTTTCGACAGATTCTGTTGCCTGCGGCTGCTAGCAGTAAAAGAGCTTCGAAAAAATCACCTCCCGGGGGCGAAACACCATGCCTCTGAAGGACGAGCTAGTTCCAAAACCACACCAAAAAACTCCCTAACGTGTCGTCTGAAATCCGAGAAAAACAGCATTTTTCGAGAGATTATGTTGCCTGCGGCTGCTACCAGTAAAACAGCTTCGAAAAAATCACCTCCCGGGGGCGAAACACCATGCCTCTGAAGGACGAGCTAGTTCCAAAACCACGCCAGAAAACTCCCTAACGTGTCGTCTGAAATCCTAGAAAAACAACATTTTTCGACAGATTCTGTTGCCTGCGGCTGCTAGCAGTAAAAGAGCTTCGAAAAAATCACCTCCGGGGGCGAAACACCATGCCTCTGAAGGACGAGCTAGTTCCAAAACCACACCAAAAAACTCCCTAACGTGTCGTCTGAAATCCTAGAAAAACAGCATTTTTCGACAGACTCTGTTGCCTGCGGCTGCTAGCAGTAAAACAGCTTCGAAAAAATCACCTCCCGGGGGCGAAATACCATGCCTCTGAAGGACGAGCTAGTTCCAGAAATCCTAGAAAAACAGCATTTTTCGACAAGCAGTAAAAGAGCTTCGAAAAAAAATACTTCCCGGAGGGGAAACACCATGCCTCTGAAGGACGAGCTAGTTCCAAAACCACGCCAAAAAACTCCCTAACGTGTCGTCTGAAATCCTAGAAAAACAGCATTTTTCGACAGACTCTGTTGCCTGCGGCTGCTAGCAGTAAAACAGCTTCGAAAAAATCACCTCCCGGGGGCGAAACACCATGCCTCTGAAGGACGAGCTAGTTCCAAAACCACGCCAAAAAACTCCCTAACGTGTCGTCTGAAATCCTAGAAAAACAGCATTTTTCGACAGATTCCGTTGCTGCGGCTGCTAGCAGTAAAACAGCTTCGAAAAAATCACCTCCCGGGGGCGAAACACCATGCCTCTGAAGGACGAGCTAGTTCCAAAACCACGCCAAAAAACTCCCTAACGTGTCGTCTGAAATCCTAGAAAAACAGCATTTTTCGACAGATTCCGTTGCCTGCGGCTGCTAGCAGTAAAACAGCTTCGAAAAAATCACCTCCCGGGGGCGAAATACCATGCCTCTGAAGGACGAGCTAGTTCCAAAACCGCGCCAAAAAACTCCCTAACGCGTCGTCTGCAATCCTAGAAAAACAGCATTTTTCGACAGATTTTCGACAGATTCTGTTGCCTGCGGCTGCTACCAGTAAAACAGCTCCGAAAAAATCACCTCCCGGCAGGGAAACACGATGCCTCTGAAGGACGAGCTAGTTCCAAAACCACACCAAAAAACTCCCTAACGTGTCGTCTGAAATCCTAGAAAAACAGCATTTTTCGACAGATTCTGTTGTCTGCGGCTGCTACCAGTAAAACAGCTTCGAAAAAATCACCTCCCGGCAGGGAAACACCATGCCTCTGAAGGACGAGCTAGTTCCAAAACCGCGCCAAACAACTCCCTAACGTGTCGTCTGAAATCCTAGAAAAACAGCATTTTTCGACAGATTTTCGACGGATTCTGTTGTTGTTGTTGTTGTTGCTGGTGTTGTTGTTGTTGTTGTTGTTGTCGTTGTCGTTGTTGTTGTTCTTCTTGTTGTTGTTGTTGTTGTTGTCGTTGTCGTTGTCGTCGTCCTGCCGGGGTCGGCGGATAGCAGTGCAGTACCTCTTCTTCCCTTACGCGCTCCCCCTTGCGTCGGCCGGGGTCGGCGGATTATATAACATGTATATAATCGGTTACAGACGCACCTCACATGGATTTCAAAAACTAACGCCATGCGACTTTGCAATCTTGATGCCAAGTCCGCAGCCATTGTGGAGGTTTCGTTGTTTTCACACATTTTTTCTGCATTGGTTCTCAACAATGCAGAGGTTGGGCTTTCTTTGATGTGGCAGAAATGCGAAAAAGGGGGCCACAGCTGGCCACAGCTGCCACCGGCTGGCCTTGGCAGGTGCCCCCGAGTTGGAGTTGCAGCAGGAGTGCTCCTCCTGATGCTGGCACTCTTGGCTTTCACGCCCTCAATGGAGGCGATGAATTGATTCAGTTGGATTCCAGCGATGAATTGGTTTCGAGTTCCTTTTTCAAACCTCCCTGTGATTTGGCATTGGCAATGTTTGGCACAACCCTAATGGCAGGCACGCAGAAATCTGCGTGGGAGCGCGCCGGAACAGAAATGGATGTTCCGTGGGTCAGGGCCCTCAGTGCATGTTTTAACGACTCTCAAACATTTTAGTGCCTCTCAGCTGTTTTGAAAAGTATTCCCATGCAGTGGCAATATGTTTGAAATTTGATGAACTTCGATGAAATTTGGAGACCAGCTACGATGAGCCTGCTTGTGCTTTGCAATGTTTTGCAGTCACTTTGAGGCTCATTGATTTCAAGAAGGCGTTGAAAGCTGGTGTTGCTGACGTCATCCACCAGGCGCAAGCTGTAGTGAGGCTAGGCCTGACTCTGCTGTGTCCATGGCATTTGACAAATCTCCCAGGGTACGCAAGTGGCCACCTCTCTTGGGTTCGAAGAGGAGGGAGGTCCTGGGACCATTTTGACTCTGCTTGTTGCATCTTTTCGCATCCTTCAATGTCTGGTTCCCAGGTTCAAAATGTTGCGTGAGCCTCCCCTGTGTCAGGTGCACCTGCTAAGCAGGTGAACACCACCGCTGGTGGAAAGTACCTGGTTGAGGACTTGATCTGTCATGCATCGCATTTCCCACTTCCCAATATATATATATATATATAATATAATTCAGTACTATTCAGTCCCTTCATCCACGTTGACTTCTCTGCATTCACGATACTTGGATGGGCCGCCCTGCCAGAATGATATAACAGCGTTGCAACACAGGAGCTTCTCAGCAACAAGAAACTCACGAAAGAGGCGTGTCGATGTTCCCGGTGTTGTTGCTACAAGTGCAAAGATCCAAGAATACAACGTGCAACTTTGGACGCTTTCAACTGTTGACCCACGCAGGTGAGACTGACTCCGACGCAGATGGGGTGGGTTCAGCACGGGCGGATCTTCAACATCTACATGAAGGCCTACCAACATGTGCTGGAGGCATTAGTTTTAGTTTTTTTTTTGTGGGTTTGATTTGCTTCCCCAACAACGAATATAATATAACGAGTACTTGCTGTCTTCTGCCTTGTAAAGGTCACGTAAAGGAGCTGTGACTCAGGTGTCCAAGGTTCCCAAGCAGAAGGTTTCAAGCCACAGAGAAGGTTTCTGAGGTAAGTTCACAAGGCGAGGGTTTCCAAGGCCCCAAAAAGATCCAAAAAGGGATTCCAAGTAGGCAGCAGGTTCTTGTTCGCCCCTTTTTGTTTTTCCTTTGAGGTGCGGTGTTGCCTGGTGCCTTATTTGTCTCCATGTTGTACAGGTTATGATGGTTACAGTATGCCCAGTCTGCCCAGTATGCCATTTCATGTTGTCATGTCTTCCTCATCTGTATACTGCAAGTCCTGTAGAGATGCTGCAACTGCCTGGGATTTGTTGGGCAATTTCTGATTCTCCAAGAACCGATGCTATTGTGCTCGATGCGCGCATCCTGAAGATATTGCTATCAAACACACGCGTTAAAGGGCCTGGGGCGCGTCCCTTTTGTCTATTTTTTGCGTGCGCAATATGATGTGTGAGCAACCCTTCGACTTTTGTTTCCGATGAAGCTTACACTTCTCACACAACAATTATCCTGACTTTGCGTTTTGTTTTGGTTGTTTACATGATTGACAACGTCACCTGATTCTACCTAAAACTTGTGACAAACTCGGACGAATGTCTCAGTGATTCGGGCGGCCATTGCATATTTTGTTGCAGCAATGTGACAACTTGGTTCTCTTGTTCCCAACTGTTCCCAACTGCAGTACCCGCTGGGTTTCAATCTCTGGGTCTGAGAGTGGTGCCTCATGTGCTTGCCAAGCCCAAAACCGGAACAGAATACTGAAACCTTGGATTCCAAGAACACAACAAGGTTGACGGGTTTTAAAGACCAGGTGTCCAAGAACTAGGCCAGCAACAGAAGCTTTGAGACAGGAATGGTAGGACAAAATTTCGTGAAACGCTTGGGCTTCTGCAGTTGGAAATGGTGTTTGCGCTTAGCTTGTTCAGGATGCGCAAGTTGGAGATGCCACAAGAGTGTACATTGGTCGAGATGGAAACGTTCACTTCGTTTGGGGCCTGGATCTGTCACAACTCACAACATGTCACAACATCATCATGGTTTGACTCTATTCTCTTCGATTCTCTTCTATGATTCTATGCTTCGAATTGCTTCGATGTCTTTCGAGGATATTGAAGATTTGGACGTGGGTGTCAATGCCTTGGTTAGTGATCTGTGGAAATCATTGGTTGCGTTGCCAGTGACGACGATGAAGAGGGTGACTGTGAACCCAGTGCGAGGTATGTGCGAGGTCTTTGCAGAGTTTTTTTAAAACTCTAGTATAACTTTTTTTGGTTAGTTAGTGGAGAGTAGCTTTTGGAGTATTTTGGAGATATGATATACAGTACAGCATCATTTGCCTAGAATTGCACTGCAAAACTCGCCGGATCTTGCTTTGTACGTGGCTTTGCGCAAGTCAGCATGGATCATAGAAATGTGTCGTGCATGGTCTGCATAGTGTCTGAATGTGTCTGAGTCTGCGTGAGTCTGCGTGAGGTTGAATGCCAGTACGACCTTCGATTGACCTCCTTAAACTTTGGTGAGCTCGGATCTTGGGGAAGGGGGAAGTCTCAGCTCGTGCTGCCAAGACTTCAAGAGATGCAACGCAGTTTCTGCAAGGACAGGCCGAGTAAAGGGAAGACTGCCCGGGCCTTACGGGCCTTAAATTCATGGAATTTCCCATATTGTCCCCAAATTCTGCGAATTTGATAGGGCTTCGGCGGTTGCAGGCTCTGGCATAAGTCCGAGTGGAGTGCAAGGATTCACTCAGCTTCTAAATGTGCCCGATTTTGCACAAGCTTAGGAAGGGAAGCGGCATGACATTGCGCTTCCCCGAGAAAGGAGTTGGTAGAGGAAGCTGCGACTTCCAAAAAGGCCGGTGCTTGACGTGGCGAAAGCCAATTGGAAAGCCCATTGTCACTACATGTCATTACTTTGTCACTTTCATATCTTTCATCAAAGTCTCATCAAAATTTCATCAAAGTTTCATCACTTTCATTTACTTTCACAGCTTCAGTTTCTGGAGGCTTGGACCTGGAGGTTCTTGATGCTTGGGCCTGAGATGTGCACATGGCATCACATGGCCACCTTGATGGATCCGATCCGGTAGCCACATCATGCAGGCGATCAGTGACCGGGATGCGATGAACGCGGCTGGGCTTTCCATCATTATGCCATTTATGCCATCATTTTCCATCATGATGTCATCATGATGTCATCATGATGCCATCATTTCTGCCCTTTTGTGGCTTCATGACCTTAGTCTGCCTTCCAGGATTCCACGTCTCATATCCCCAAGAGTCGACTGAGGTTGCAATTGATGACATCTTGAGCTTTGGCTGCAGGGAGAAGAGAGCTGGTGTAAATTGGTGTAAATGTTGGCAATCATTTTGGCAAATGTCAATGTACATTGAGCTCACAACTGCTGCTCACAAAGGCAGCAGAATTTGGTTGGCGTCCGCTCTGAAATTGTGGAGGAGATGGAGGAGAGAATTTAGCTGAAGCAGATCCAAGACGAAATGAACTAGATTGCAACGGCTTCATCAAAAAGTATTAAATGTAATGCTGAACGAATGCGTGCAGATGAGTGCCTGAGTGAAGGGATGAATGGTTCACTTGATGAATACATGTGAGGAATACATGCATTTGTTGATGGATGAATGACCTACCTTTGGACACAGGACGGCCTGTGCCGGGCTCTCCTTGCACCTGATATCTTCGTGCCAGAGACTCATTCGTGGAATCTTGGAACTTGACGTGTTTCGTCGAGTTACACGCTGGGACGCCGAACCTGAGGAATGATCCAAAAGCTGCGGTCCCCTTGCCAGCGTAAAGCTCTCAACAGATATATCAGAGAAACATCTCCACAGGGCGCAGCGCACTTTTGATTGCTTGAACATGACGAAAGTTGCACAGGCCGCGGTCAATGTGGCCTCTTGTCGTAGGCCTGGGGTTCAGACGAATGACTTTGGCCTTCGACGCCACCAAATGGCTTCGCCAAATGATGCCCACAATCAGAATATAATTAGATGCCAAAGCAGATTCATAACTCTGAAAGCGGACCATATTTTGGGTTGCTGAAAGTGTGAGTGGCCAGGTGCGGTGTTGGTGCTGTTTGTTTTGCTTGTTGCAACTTTCTTCCTGGGCCGTTGCTCTGCGCAAGAGGCTTCAGCCCCAGTTCGCAAAAAAGCGGAAACAAACACACCTGACAATTTAGACTTGCTGCTTGCTGCTTCACGTACAGTATCTGGTGCACTTGCAACTTCACGCCTTTTTGCAAAGCTCAAACTCTAAAGACACTTTGGGACGATGAGGATTACTGCTCGCAGTCCAAAGTGTTGCGAGACGAGGAGCCTATTTCTTGCTGAAACTGCTAGACTGCTCCGTATGCAGGAATCAATAGATTCATGATGATCCATGAATGGATCAAAGCACACAGGTTGTCAGGTGCTGAAACAGTGAGCATTTAGCCAGGAGGAGGGCAGCTCCGAATCTGAGGGAGATGTTAATGAACTTGTCAATTTTAAGCACAGCAGGTACCATTGATATCACTGAATTCAGTGACATCACCGCGACGGCATCAGGATCATCAGATAGATCGATCTTGAATGTTGGCGAGACTCACTGTGACAGAAACAATGCAGCGAAAAGAGTGTTGCCTTCAGCGTGCTTTGTGGTCATGATGTGCGCTTCTTACACAATGCTGATGCTTCAGTAGAAGTGGAAACGGCGAACGTGTTGGAATCCACTGTTGGAAAGCTGTTTAAGCTTCATCAAAAGAAGCCAAAGGCATTCCAAGGATTCTAAGGCCCCAGTCAAGAGCACCATGTTGAATATGGATCACTAGAAACGTCTTGAAACCTCTAGCCCATATGCAGCTTAATCATTCATTGAATTCATGACACCGAGTCGAGCAGCATGTTCAACATGGATCACTAAAAGCAATGGCACATCACAGCATCTTTTGGTTCCTCGGTTCAGCATGTTTGGTGGGAAGAAACTCAAAGACTTGACAGAAGAGGACAGGGCGGGTCAAACAATGTCAAACGTTTCTTTTCTGGATTTCTGGGCCGCTGAAGTCTGAACTGCATTCCGGGTGTTTGCACACCTGCAGGATATTCGAAACTATGCTGCATCCCTGGTCTCTGCCACATCTATGCATGGAGGTAAGAATCGGAAACACTTGAACGTCTTTTTATGTTTTTTTGCTGGCTCCCCTGGAGACCTTTTGCTCATCAATCGTGAATATCTTGAATACAGGCCTGGAGGCAGACGAGCCAGAAAGACCAGATCCTTCTGTGCAGAACTCAGCTTCGTGGATCCGTGGATCGAATTCCTGGCGTCGTGGATCTTCTTGTCCACGAAGCGTCAGGCTGAAGTGGCTCAGCGGCAGCAACTTGCCCAGGCGCACAGCAGCGGCGTCTAGGTCATCGTAAATTTAGATCAGGATTGATGTTGATTGCAAAATCAACTAGACAAGTAGCAAGCCATACACGGGGCACATATGGGCACATCAGATATTTGCTGTAGGTACGATTTGAATTGCCATTGGCACCTGCCTGATAGATCCTTGTCTTTTGGCAGAGATTGAACACCTATTTGAACGCGGCAAAAATGTGCAGGCAATCGCGCAGAATGCAAAGGATGGAGATGCATCCGGTTACACAGATGCGCCGGACAGGTGCGCCTAAAGAAGAATGGCTGCACAGTTGACATTGTCAAACTTGGACGGGGTCTGTTGAGACCTATTGAATGCCTGGGCATACCCAAGCACTTCAATATCCTCAAGCAATTTTGTCTCAAGCACTGTGGCTCAACATGATTTGAAGGCTACTTGAACTCTAGTCTCAACTTGACATAAACTCTCTTACACCAATATAGATAATATAGTGCGAACACGTGCAAACCACACTGGCAGCATATAGCGTCACAATTGCACTCGGACCCTTCTGTACACCCGGGCATCATTTGCGGTGAAGCTACAGAAGGCTCGCGATGTTTTTAGCATTTCTGTAGCAAGCTGGCAGTGCATAGTCAAGGCATCCAATGGTAGCAAGATGTAGTGACATGTAGCCAGCAAGGACGTTCAGCTAGTACCTGGCTTTTCCATTGGTGCTTGCAGGCATGCACGGTTGGATGAATCCGGAATCTGCGATTCGCCAGCCGCAAATACGACTGCATGTAAGGCCGGGCATTTGCTCATTGGGACCCACGACATGGCCATTCTATCTCAGGCCGGCGCTTCGAGTGCCCAGTCTTCCTGTCGGGTCCACAGTATACACTGTATACACTGTATGCATCTACAATCTGTATACACCAGGAGGAGGCTGCAGAAATGGATCAGTATGTACCTTGACCTTAAAGATACGGGAATGAATCTACCATTTTGATTCATTTTGATTAATTTGACAATTGAATTGTATCATTTTTTGAGGAACATCCAAAAACACCAGCTCTGATGTGAACTACGTCTCCAGGGCGATCCATTGAGGCTTCACGGGTTCCACGGGTTCCACGGGTTCCACGGGCTCGGTCCTTTTCCCCCGCATTGGCTTCCGCATTGCGTGGGGCTATAGCCTCAGGGAGAGACCGGCAGTTTGTGCACCCTACACTGCCGTACAGCGCCGTACACCTATGCAATCTACAAACATCTCATGTGCTGGGACCATTTGGATGTGTGCGTATTGTCTGTATTGTGTGTACTGTGTGTACTACAAAACTAAACATAGAGCTATCATGAGCTATCATATGATACGTCACAGATCATGACATGTATACCGTATACCTACGATATAAACAAACATATGTACTGCTGCAGCCTGGGCACTTAGTGAGTGAGTGTCCAGGCCGGGACAGCATTGGGCCATCGCCTCATGAGAACAGCAGTGGCACAGCTGCAGATATGACATGGTCATGCCAAGAAAGAGAGAGAGAGAGGGGGAGATAGCACGTATATAACCTGGCAGTGATGGGTCAAATATGGTCAAATCTACTACACTTTGAACGTCATAAACTTCTTCAGAGCCAGGCGACTATGTCGATTGGTCCCAAGCCTGTATGGGATTCCACAGGCTTGCCAAACCAAGAATGGGGGTAAACCAGAAGAAGGGCGCAACGTTGTTTTCAGAGAGGCCGCAGCAAAACACTTGGTGCGAACGCAGGTGGTCCAGCAGTCCATGGTAGCACGGGCGGGAAGTTGATGGCTCAGAATGCGAGGATGCCGCCAAACCCAAACGGAGCCTCCTCCGGTCTGCCACCGAGGCCCCGATTGGAGAAAGGCAAGCTGCACCGCGCTGCCCCAAGTCTGTGTGGCGAGGGCGTTCTTGCACTTTCAACCGTTAAAGTTCTGCGTCAATGCTGCACTTTTTAGGTGTGGTGTGGATGTGCTGGACTGGTAACAACCCAATGCCCAGCGCCCCAAGTCAAGCAATTCCAGTCCATGTTTTGAATGTTCTGCTTGGATTTCCACGAGGAAGTCCCATTTGTGATCTCTCTGAGGCCAGCGCACCTTCAGCTGTGTATGCAGACAGTCAGGAGAAACGCTGGCTTGTCCGGGTCTCACCGGGTCTCACCAGGTCTCACCAGGTCTAACTGGTCTCAGAGTGTCAGCTCTCCAGACCCAGAGATTTTGCTGAACCAAGGCCTGTGATCCTCGTCACGCCTCAGAACGTGTCTTGGTTGCGGAGCATCAAGGATTCTAGGGCCTACGCTTGGGTGAAGATATTACCTGAGACTTCTGGGATGAGACCAAGAATCCAAAGGCAAGCCATTCCCAAAACCCATCCTTTTATGCGTTTTGAAGATCCCCGAGGTTGCAGAATATGTTCCAGATCCACATCCTGCATATCCTTTCCTGCACTTGGCACATCGAGCAGACTACTTGCGTTGTTTCCTCAGAATTTCGCGAAGAATGTGTGAGTCATGATGCTTCGCTGAAACTAGATCCATCATAGACAGGCTGCTATTTGCTACATCACTACGGTGGAGTATACCTCGACGTTTGGAACCTAGACTTAAGATGACTTAAGTATGTTGGCGAAATTGATGGACTTGCAAAAACCAGCATGCCCTACATACCTGCATGCAAATGCAGTGCAGCTGGCTATGAGGTTGATACCATTTGCCTGCAAAGCCTTGATGGTTTGTATGATCTTATCGAAAGCAACCAGTGTGATGCTGTGGGCTGGAGCCTCATGGACACATGGACAGGGTAAACCTGTACCTGACAGCCTGACAGCTCATTGCGGTTGTCAAAGCGCCTTTCATTTTCCGAGGCTATGATGGTTCTCAATGGGGCGAGCTGATAGGTGTCTCCGCGTCTTTGGCATGGTTGAAACATGTTGAAAAGGTGATGAGCATGTCTAGATTTCGTTCTGAGGAATAGGGCCTTTGGGAAAGTTTGCACAAGCCCTGGCAGCCAGGACATGGGTCCGTTCCGTCCTCACTCTGACCTCACAGAGTTGTGGCTTGATGCCCAGAATTTGTATCAGAACCAATCAGTTTGAATCAAGCTTGGTGCATTTGTGCAACAGGTATGATTCCGGTGTGATGCATTATGAATTATGATGCTCTATTTACATATGGTCATCCACCCCATGATCTACCTAGAAGTATTTTATATGGGAATAACAATATTTTTTGCATCATATAAAGCAAAACCGGAAAAAAACATGCAGAAAACCCAAACCTAAAATGATGAAGCACCAAAAAAACCTTGACTATATATTTTTGTTTTTTTGAGATCTGGATTGATCATATCCATTCGAACAAACAAAAAAACACGAGTTTTTTTGTTTTTCCATTTCAAAACAAGAAAACCTAGGGAAAACCAAAAAAGCAATCTTTTGAGTCAAAACCAAACATTATCTCACATGTTTTTTTTGTTTTTTTTGGTTTTGCTCGAGTTCTTTGTTTTTTTTGGTTTGTCTATTGTTTCACATCATTGCCATCTGTGTCCTTATGCTTGCGTACCTTATCGGTCCTGGGAAGTCAAACTTTGATCAAAGTTTCTCACTCAAGAGCTTGCGCACTATGTGAGACTAGGCTTGGCATAGGATGTGCTGTGATGTTTATGCACTTGAAAATTAGTTGTTGCAGCGCTTTCCTGCTCTACTGTCTATCTCTAGCAACTTCTGTACCACATCTTGGAATCTTGGAACCTTGGATTCGTACATACACATTCCTGTCTAGGTTTGACATATTCAAACAACGCATATAAATGTAGGTACCTGGAAAACACTTTTGGATACCTTGGGGGGAATGGTGGGGTATTTCTTTGAGAACATGTAACATTGCTTTGTAACAGAATGCTGCAGGACTTTGAAAGAATCTTACCTGTAAAGAAAGTCCTTCATTGGATGCAGTATTTGATTCAAAGAGTACCGGACACATTGTGTGAAATAGTTGAGGCCAGTGGGGCATGTTGTAAAAGAATGTATAGTTTCTGTGTCGTAGAATGCGTCAATAGATGCAGCAGTGGTATTTTGAAAGAGTCTTACCTCTGAAGAAAGTCCCTAAATGGATGCAGTACTCTTTTGAACGAGTATCGGACATATTGCATAAAATGGTGGAGCATTTTTTAAAGATTGTACAATTTCTTTCAAAGGGATAGATGCAGTAGTACTTTGAACCAGTTTTGCCTTGAAAGAATGGACGCAGCACTCTTTTGATGTGTGTTGTATTCTTAAGCACTCTTTGCATTATTCGAATACGAAAAGTATGACTGTTGACTGTTGACTGTCCGCATGAGTCCACTCACGACAAGTGAAACTCTGGCCGGGGCTCCGCACAACTTAAGTTGCGCACACTTTCGTGTGGTTTTAGATCATGGGCGGGTGAGCATATATATGATTATATATTGGGTGTGGCCTAACCTCTGTAACAGTCGGAAAATGGATTTCCTATGAAAACCTCTTCAAAAGGAACACAAGGAAATCCATTCATTTTTGCCATTTTCTTTCGTGCAAAAATCGTGCTCTAGATCGTGCTCTTTGGTGCCACCCTCCGTGCAAAAATCGTGTTCTAGATCGTGCTCTTTGGTGTTCCCCTCCGTGCAAAAATCGTGCTCTAGATTGTGCTCTTTGGTGTTCCCCTCCGTGCAAAAATCGTGCTCTAGATCGTGCTCTTTGGTGCCCCCCCTCCGTGCAAAAATCGTGCTCTTGATCGTGCTCTTTGGTGTTCCCCTCCGTGCAAAAATCGTGCTCTAGATCGTGCTCTTTGGTGTTCCCTCCGTGCAAAAATCGTGCTCTAGATCGTGCTCTTTGGTGTTCCCCTCCGTGCAAAAATCGTGCTCTAGATCGTGCTCTTTGGTTTTCCCTCCGTGCAAAAATCGTGCTCTAGCTTGTGAAAGCTGTTACAGACAATGGGCCAGACCCAAATTATATATGTACATATATATATATTGGATTCCGTCAAAATTTGCGCTGATTAAGTATGTACTGGAGTGTGCATCGATTGTTGGCTGTTGCATGAAACCTGCTAAAACGATAGGGGCCTCACAAAAAAACGATACGTTTTTTGATTGCGCATGCTTGCGCGTTTTGTGGTGTGGGCATCGTGTTTGCTTAGGCAGGGTTGTTTTTTCACGGTTGGATCCACTTCACCATGAATGGGTGTGCCCATGCGGTGGGTTGACTTTACATGATTATACAATACTATACTATACTATACATTACTTTACCCACCTAGGTGGGTAGCTTAAACTCGGCACCAAGTAGACGCAGGCATGCTGGAGTGGACAACTCCATGCAGTATCTCATTTTTTGCTGCCTGACAACTCAGCTATTCAAAGATGGAACCCGCGCAGAACGATACCCAAAACGATACCCAAAACGATACCCAAACGATACTAAAATCATTCCAAAAGCGACCCGGGTGACCGACTGGTCACAAAACAGGCCGAACAGGTGGTGGATGTTGGTAGTTTGCTGTAGTGATGGACTAAAGCTTTGTGCCCTGGCTGGATAAATTTTGAGGTTAGCAGCTGTGAGTGGCCAAAGCATGCCAAAACCCATTTTCTTTCCAAAAGACCTGCTGGTTGAAGAGACCGCCCAAGCAGTGCGAAGGAGGACCAGACAGGCGGGCAAAAGCACAAGTGCGCTCCAACGCGCGCAAACAAAAATCGCCAGGGATGAGGATCCAAGTGGACGCGCTTCAAAAATATGCTTAAACAGAGGTAAAGAAACTGTCAAAATATATAAAAACAGGAAACCCTGCACTTGACGTAAACAATAAATTTCGACCGTGACTCGTATATATATGATATCGTACTATTAGGTATTATTATATAGTCTACTTTCGTGACTGAATTACATGCAGACATACCATGGGGACAGTAGACTTCCGTCTCGAGGTTCAATGCACTTCATGGGAGACTTGAGGAAAAACTTCCTGCTATCATGAGCCAAAGGAGACTTGGCAGACTACGTAAGCTTTAGCGGAACACAAGTAAGCATTAAGTTCCTCAAGTAAGCAAGCATTGAGCATTAAGTAAGCAGCCTGAGGCATCGGCCTTAATTTACTTGACCTTTGAGTTGGTTCGGGAATTTCACTTTGGAAACCGTGGCTCAAAAACGCGCTGCGGTGAGGACCGATGTATTCTACTGGCAGGACGAAAACTACGCAAAACTACTCACACAGCAGAGAGACTTCTTGTTGCAACAGTTCACTTTGCGTGAGACATGATCAGACGGTAGATCATGCACTTGCAGTGCAGGAGATTTTGAGAGATGTCTTCGTTCCAGTGACTCTCGTTCACAACCAACGGGTTAGCAAGGTGCATGGATCAGAATCATTTCCCCAGTTTTTCATCGCTCTTTGTGGTTGGATGGATGGGCACAAATAAACATTTTTTGATTCCGACACTCTGACAGGCTCTGATTGCCAACAACCCGGAGAAGGACGCTGGGAGTGGAATTAGACAAGCTATAGCAGCTACGGTACATTTTGTTGATCTGATACAGACTGATACAGACTGATACATGATCATCTTCCCGTCCCCGCCTTTATTCTCGACCACGTAGGTCTGGAATTCACTCCAAACAAAGGCTGAAAACATTTCATGCCAGTCTTCGCAAAGGAAGAGCTATGGGCAGTTCAGCCTTTTCAGAAAGTGCTTGGGAACCAATTGAGAGCCTTGCTTCAATAAGAGATCCTTCTTGCTGAAGGGACCTGATGGGACATACGGAAGACCAAGAAAGTGTACTTGCTACAGAGTTGCTTCATGTTGTTCTGCGAGTCGGTGCAGCTGGTAGCATGTCCCACTCTGACATACCGTGCGTGGCAACATTTCATTTTGTGCCGTTCTTTGGTGTGCTCCTCCTGATTTCATTCTACTGACCTCATCCTTTGCAGCAATTTGTAACATGGCATAGCACCGGCTTGAACATCTCTCGCTTCACCTCTTCAGTGACATCTTCTCCTGAGTTGTGCCACCTGGGTTTGTTTTAGTTTCACTGCAACCAGCCTTCCAGCAGATTCCAGCGGTGTATGAAGACACAGGATCAACTTTTCCCACTATTTCCCATGTATTTCTCGAGCTTAGATGGACACATCCTCATCCTGAACAACGCAAAGTATGGCGAAGAGCTGGGCCAATTGTCGGAGGAGCAAATTCTCGGTGGTCCAGCGGTTCTGAGTCGGCTGCTCAGCTCTGGTGGGGTAGGGATCAAAAAAGCGTCACATGTGCCGTGCTGAGGTCAACTGCTGCGGCATGCTTTGGGATTGAAGGTTTGAGCTTCCATCCTAAAAGGGGCCTGAAAACCTGAAAGATCTGAAAGGGGAACACATCTGCTGGCGGTTTGCTACAGCTGCCATGTAGCCGTCTTGGAGTCATGCTGCCGTCTGATCTTACACATCGAGCTCTGGGATTTGAGACGCATTGGCGCAAGGGACCAGTGAGCATGGCATGACATGAGCGGACAAAGATGACAAAGCGGTCAACAGCGGTCAGCAGAGTGACCTCTGCCAGAAGACATGGAGCTGATCACACTGATTTTTTTCAACACAGCTCTCGCGGCCGCTCCCGTATGTGGAGGATCTGGGTTGGTGTTTGAAGTGGCTTGTGCCTAGAGCATTGCCGCTCCACTGACTGCGGCGTAAAACGAGTCGTAAAATTAAATTGTGCGCCCTTGGTTTTCACAGCCGATGCAACAAACATGGTAACCTGGTACTCAGCTGAAATAGAGTCGTAGAGGAAGATGAGAATGTGACATGGGGCAGGGAAGCGCCACCTGAAGCACCGGTCGTCGATCTCTCAGCACAATGGTCTCAATTGATGCAGCTTCGCAATTTGGAGCAGGGAAGATCCAAGGCGGCACTGCCAGAGCCGGAACTGAGTGCTGAAGAGCAAGCCAGGTGAAACGCCTCAGAATCCTGAGAACGCATTGACTTGTGAAATAATTACAGCATGCAATGCATGCAAGTCAACTCTGGAAATGGTTTATTCATGATCCCTATGCTAACATGTTCAAGTGGGCGTCATGTTGGCCAATTCCACCGCTGAAGAATTCTGTTCCAAAGAAACTTGGGGTGTTGGAATGCGCATCATTTTGCTTCAGCTGGCGCTCAGATCCATCAGTTGACACTAGCCTGGGGAGGCCTAGGCTGGCATGCAACCTGTTGCAGGCTGCAAGTCTTGGCAGAGCTGGACCGGTCTCAAATGCCAGCTGTGAAAAAGGACCCTGTGAGGGCTCTCGTGTCATCTTGTGATTTGGGTATGGGTCAATACCTATTAATACCATTTTTAGGGGAATGAACATCCATTTAACAGCTATTTTGATGTTCACCAGGGGTACAAGGTTTTGACACACTGCCATTTCTGGAAAGTTGTCATTTGGGGATGGGTCAAAATTTTATTGTCTCGAGATCCACAGAGTTTTCTGGCAATTTTCAATCATGGAACATCCAATTTTTGGGATACTTTGACCATCTTTGACCCATGGCAAGGACGGAAACATCCAAAAGACCATTGAACACTACACCTTCGCAGACTCTCAAAGTAGTGCTACCATCACGGTGGAGGCGGACAAGGCCAGCTGTGCGATCCTTGGTGACAAACATCCTGGGATATCCTGGGATTCCCAGAGGTTTCCATAGATTTCCAGGACCTTTACGAAGGAGCCGCCGAACATGTGAAAGAAGAACAGATCGAGGCGGGCCCTTGAGATAGTCATCACATGTCATCACTTGATGGTACAACTGGCCGGCACTTCTTTTTCTGCTTGTCGTGCCACTATGCATTGCTTTTGAAAAGGTTTTGAGCAAGGACAAGGAGCTGGTGGTGATTTTGCATGGTGTTCCCACCACGAAAGCTGTGGGGGGCCGCAGCGTCATTCAGCGGTTTCAGATTGCACAGACGTTTTGCACAACATGAGACGGCACAGATTCCCCATGATGTTTGAAGGCCAACACGTACGCGGATTGGACCTTGCGCTTGGCTCCGCTTTGCCATAGTGCTCCTCGGCGCAGCATAGTAGCTATACCTGGCCTGGCTGGAAGCATGGCTGCTTTGAAACTCAGGAGGACCCTTTGGATCCCTTGGGCAGGATCCATGATCCAATATGATTAGATGTTCTATGACTGTACTATAAATCACAATATATGATAATATGTATATATATAGACATATATAGGGGGCCCCAAACCGAAATAGCTGATTGACCCATATGTTAGGAAAAATGCATACCTTTTTCATCCGCTTCTGCTTAAATCAAATGCAGTCTCCGCGGGCACGATATCATGGCAGAGAATCTAGATATATCAAGAGTATGCCAAAGAGATGGCACGTTCATATGAAAATTCTATTTATAGATCTTTGTTCAATGGTTCTTTCAAGCTTTCATGAGACAAAGTTGTTTGGATGATAGGCGCATCACTGTTTCATCTTGCATTGCATCCCTAAGGTGGAGTGCGAAACTGAGCTGGGTGCAGTGGTGGCACCGGGAGTCAACGTTTTGACCTGTCAACCTCAACCTCAACTCACTCAGCTCTTGCAAGGCCTTTTCTCCCTTGCAATCACAGAATATATGTAACATTAAACTTTATATACTGTATAACATTTATATGTAACGTGCATATATTAATATATTGATATATATATATATATATTATACCTTTGATCTCCACATTGTAGTTGTGTGGCTCATGTGGCTCGATACAAGGTCCGAAAGAACGTCATGGAAACTCAGGAAGGGCAAGATCTCCGTGAAGTTCCTTGGTAGATTTGATGGACATGTACCTACCTGCCTTACATACGATTGGTTGCACCTTTCTCGCTGCGAGTGGACATGCGGGCTCGCCAGGCTAACGAAGAAAAAGCTCCAAGATTGGAAAAGATCCGTTCAGATTTAACGGGTAGGGATGCTAACAATATCCTTACATGTACAAAGACGTAGAGGACTCAGGCACGCATTTGCATGTTTGCTGTTATGCGTGATGAGAGCGCCGAAAGACCCAGTGACGACCCTAAAGGGGCTGCTTGGCTGCTTACGCCTGCAAAAAGGGAAATCCAAAAAGAGGTTACTCTGTAATGCTCTGCGTGTCAAAAGCCTTTTGCTGTTTGCCATGCACTCAGTCGAGTTGAGAAAAGGAAGCACTGCAGATTCATTTTCATGGGCTTTCCTTTGGAACTTGGCAGAAAATCACTCGCCCAGCAAAGGAAAGTGACACTGGGAATGAATGTTTCTGGAAGGAAACCATATTGACTCGATGACACAAGTTCTGCTAGACAAAACTAGCCTGGCTTGTTGTGATGCATTGGCAGGACAGAATGCAGGTAATTTCGTTCGTAAGTTCCGACTACAAGAAGCGATCTTGTTCAAGTCGCGCCCTGTGTTTCACCTGCCTAGTGAGTCTGCGTATGTAGTATCGCCATGTATAGCTACATCTTCAAACAAACATGAGCGATGCCGAAGACTCGCGAAAGCGCAGGAGAACTGACCAAACAAACAAGCCCGACAAGCCTGACAAGCCTGAGTTGAACGTCGAATGGACCAACTTGCAACGTGTTTGGTTAAAGCGTGTAAAGAGATTATTTGAGGATTTTGGTCCTCCTCAACCCAGCTTGGAACTGAAGCGCCGCGAGGAAGTCATGCAGTTGAGAAGACGTTTGAGCGATAAGTATGCAGAGCTCATTGACACATGGAAAGTCTCTTTGCGCAGCAATCCTGAACCTCCTCCTTCGACAGATTCTCCGACCCTACCAAGTCTACCAAGGGAAGCTTTCAATCGCTGGTTAATGGAACGTATCAATGCAGGTGGGACAGATCCGCTCCTGGGGGGTCAGGCTGACGCGCCCTTGTTAAAGGCGGCTGCCGAGGGGTTAGAGCATGACCTGTGTGGGCCTCTGCACAGCGAAGCTGCGCCCAAGGATTTTGCAAACTTTGCCGAGAAAGTACGGGGTCTTTGCTCCTGGCTCGCCAGTGAAGCAGATGCAGCCGCAGAAAGGATAGCAAGGTCAGCAAAATCAGCAAGGTCAGCTTCCCAAACGTCAAAGGTCTCGGCCACTTTGAACGCAAAGCGAGGATGCTACGTCTTTTCCCTCGACCAAAGTTACTCCAGCAAGCTGGGCAGGGAAGCTGTTTTGGAAGCTGAAAGTGAAAGCGATGAAAGCGATGCGAATTCACCATCTTTCCCTCTCAGCCCATCTGCTCTTGCTCGTCTTGCGTGGCCCTTGCATGTTTGCGCTGAATGGATTCGCTTGTAATTGATCAATTTAGATCAATATATCTAATTGTCACATGTTGTCACCATTTGGCAGGGGCTTGCAAGAAAGTAATCAGACCAAAAAACTACTTCAGCATCGGGGATTGTGCCCTTTATGATTTCCCAATACTAAATTCAAACGGGTTGGATTCGGCCAAGATCTTGGTTGGCTGTGGAAGAAGCACCCCTAGATTATCGGACGCACTACTGTACAATTTGTATCTTATTCCGGGTAGAACTTCGTTATTTTGCGAGCAGCGTTTCTATGGGCCATTGATAGTTGACAGATGTTGACAGTATGCGGTCAATCTTCCCAGTTCTTTTGCGATTACCTAGCTTCATTCATGCTTGCATGCTCTCGGAGAGAAACATCAACATGTAGGGACAGACAAACCAGAAGGAGGGGCATGTTTGTGGATTGTTGTGGCTATGCATGACGTGATGAATCTACAAGGCAGAGACAGGTCACGAATTGGAGGTCTGGCGACGCGCAATCTGAATCTCTTGCTGAGAAAGAATGCAAGAGTGCTCTGGCTCAAGCTTCTGCATCTGATGTTTATTGTACAGGCTGCCCTCATTCCATTTTGACATATTTGAATATCTTTGACTCATTTTCATCATTTGCACGATTTTGGCAGTAGATAATCTCCCACATATCTCTGCATGGGAGTGTGTCATCAGCTATCAGTAGCCCATAGGGGTTTAGTCAGCAAGGACACATTCGAAGCTTGGTTGTTTCACTTCGATATCCACTGATAGCTTTGCTTCTGAGATGAAACGAGAAGCATATGGCAGCTGCGCAGTTGACGTGGGCGCTATTCAGACTTTTGGTATGTATACTTTTGCAGAGGTTTGCTGGTGGACAGAAGGAATATCCACAGCAAGGGGACCGAAGCTGCATGAACCAGCATGAATCGGAGAAAGAGAGCCAGTCTCTCCGTAAAACGTTCGATGAAGAAACCCGCAAACTGCTGAACAGCTGCACCATACCTCGCATTGAATGGAGAGGAATCGGATCCTCACAGCCTTGGAACCTGCCATTGAGCGACGAGCCTTATGTGGTTCAATCCCCTCATGGTTGGAACCGGGAGATTGCTCAAAGCTTGGAAAGGAATGCTCTTTTGCACTCAATGGGAAACGTCACATGTACACCCTCGCAAGCTGGGAGCAAACGAATTGGTCACTTTGAAATGACCCTGGCAGAATACCTGACCGAGTGGTTGCCAAGACCAATTAGTAGGAATGCCGAGGAAAACCGATACGTTTTTGGAGAATTTGGAGAACAATGGGCCCCACTTCGCAAGACCTACGTGCTTCCTCCGTGTGAGGTTTGCTCCCACGATGCTGCGGCCGTAACCATTGGCTTAGGTGGCAAGTACTCTGGGGCTCCTTGGCATTTTCACAACTCAGCCTTTGTTGAAGTCTTCGATGGAGCAAAGTATTTCGCGTTCCTTCCACCCGGAGATCCCGTGATTGAAGAAATTGAAAAGGTCATGCAATTCAACGCGTCCATGTCTCAGTTCCATTGGCACTTGGAGGAAAGGCCAATCTTGGAAAACAAGGGACGCCTCAGGAACATGCAAGAGTGTGTTATCAATCCTGGTGAGATATTGTATTTTCCTGACAACTGGCACCATGGAGTGATTAATTTGGGGGAGTACACGGCTTTTGTGAGCAGCTTCATCAACAAGGACCTTGCGAAAGACAAGTCAGTGAAGACTCGTAGACCTGGATCCACCAACAACTTCCTGAAATTGCTGCCTCCTTGATAGTTCGCCTGAGACGAAAGAGTGCTCTTGACCTGCTTGGTTCAGATCAATGGTTTTGTTTCCAAGTCATTATCCATTGGAATCCATTTGAGTTCATGGCATGCCAGCAGCTAGAGCAGCTAGAGGCACGACGGTTGAACCGTGTCGGGATCCATGTTCCATGCCAGGAAGCTGATGCGCCGGGCAACGAGATGGGCTGAGAAGATCTCGAGGTCTGACGTCGCAGGCCGGAATTGCCAGTCATTTTTCTGCTCCGAATCAACAGCCTACAATCAACAAGTAACCATGTCACTATTGTCACTGAGAGGAGAAAGATAACATAAGAATCATAAGATAATATGAGAGATATGAAATTACTATGTGTCCGTGTGTCATTAACATATCAAACAGAATGGCATCAATATTTCGGGTAATTTCTATCCTAAGCCTGTAGTTTTTTTCTTGCCCACACTCTCTCTCTCTCTCAATCAAGCACTAAGGTGAAGCATGGGCAGCCAAGTTCCACGCTTTCATGCAACAAGACGCCAGCTTTTGGGACATCACCTTCTGCTTGCTCTGCCGTTATGATGCTTTGTGCGGTCCTGGTCACAAGGAAGGAGGAGGCTTCCATGCAGCTATTCCTTCAGTGGCCTTTGATGCTCTTGAGAAGATGGATGATGTCAATGATGTCAATGATGTACCTGTTAGAGTTGAATGTTTTGCCTCTCCTCAGCTGTGTCATGCTGAAAAATGGCATTTTTGCTCTGCCTTTAGTGATGTGGATATTTTCTTTGGATCTCTCGGGCCCTTTCTGGATGAAGAGATGGACATTGGGAGATTTGGCGGCATCTATGAGGTCAATCCACCTTTTGTCCGTGGAGTAGTGCTGCAGCTTGCCCAGAAGCTCCTGAGGGCACTAGAACTGGCAGAATCAGAAGATCGAACCCTTGGCATTTTTCTGGTGCTTCCAGGTCTTGCTCGTCATAAAAGTCATAAACTCATTTCAGATATTTCCGATATTTCCGGGGCAACCGAAAAGCTGGAAGCTGAACTGGACGCTTTGGATCGGCTGCTAAGATGCCGTTTCAGAAGGGCCTTAGATGCCTCAAGCAGGCGAGCGTACACAAATGGCCTTGCTTTCAAGACTGAACGATCTTGGCCGCTTTTTGCTGTCCCAACAACATTGGCCCTGCTGAGCTCACAGCCAAGTGAACACGAAGTTGCTGACTTTGAGCGCTTGTGTGCAAGTTGGGGGCACTCTGATCAGGACATCACCGATGACACCATGAAAGATGTGAAAAGAGAGTGTGAAGAGACGCTTCATCACCATCGTGATACAGTAGTAATAGACACTGCAACACTTTGGATTGTCATGGCATTTGCATTATATATACATACATATACATATATAATGTATATATATATACAATTTATAAATAAAGAAATATGATTATATATATACATGATATGATCAAACATACATTGATTACTGGATGATTTCATGGCGCATGCTACTGCATGATGCATTGGTGCAAGTCTTGTGCCACTTTTCTACCATTCAGGGCTCGCCTTGTTGTCTGTTGGTGAGCGACTGTTTGGTCACACAGTGAGCGCATCGAACCGCGATCATGTGCCATGGTTCAGAATATTGAGATCTAATTTTGTAAATTGCTGTTGCCAGTAACTGACCAGGGACACAGCCACCTCAAGAATTAAAGATACTGTAAGAAGTTTTCCCATTTGCATTTTGAGCGTGTGGCATGATACTCTGCTCTCATTGATCATTCCACGGTGTTTTTTCATTTCATATTTTCAGTGTCAGGGTGGCTGACGCAATGGCCTCATACATGCTGTCGATGCTTTCGGGCCAACGTCGACCGATCAGGGCTGCGCAGCTGCAGGTGCGGAGAATGTACGTGCTTGTGTGAACGTGTTGCAGCAGGGTTGATGTGATATTGTGCACGACAAATTGATGCAATTATCTGCAATTGTGATATATCGGGTTTGATACTTTTTGTCCCCTCCCATTGCTTTTGGGCTGAGTCTTTTATTGCGTTCCTAGATTTCTTCGGTCGTTGTGTGTTTTAGGTTGCCCTGTGAATTTACCTAATTTTTCTGACTTGAGTCTTGTTGGACTTTTTGACATGGACTTCGTTGACTCAATCGGTTCATTTGGTTTTACCAGGGTTTGGTGAGATTTTTGGTTTCATGTGCACATTTTTCTTCTAGCGCTTTTATGGTCTTGTTTTTCGATTTCTTGCTTCTAACTACTTGGTGCTTTTGTCCTTTTGTAAGAACATCTCCTTAATTCGCACTCATGAGTTGCCGTAGCTGGTAGCAGACAGGGCTCTTGTTCCTTCCTGTTCTCACACCAAAAAAAAGGGGACGGCCAGAATGACTGCAAATTGAGGCTACTACATGTGATTTGGAGGAAACGCAACTGACTACGGATCAGAGTACGGCAAAAGCGGCTTCGCCAAATCCCAAAATTCATGCAGATGACTTTGCTGTTGGTGACAACTGCGATGACGACTCTGATGATGGGGTGACGCCTGACCGTCAGCGCTGGTATGCAATCCAGCGCATTCTACTAATAGATAACAATCCTGAAGAGGTCGCTGAATTGAGTTTCTCGGTGGCTGGTGTCCTGCTCGATCTAGACGTTCTGCGACCTTACGGTGCAAAGAGGCACATTACAATTTCGAGAGCTGTTGCAGAGCACCTCACAGGAGGGATTCTGCCCGGAAACGCGCGGGTGCTACAGAGTGGCAGACTTGCTCCAAACAATTCCGCCTGTTACAAACTGACCCTTCCATTCGATGAAAATGCTCGGCAAGGTGCAGGGCGCTGGCTCGCCTGTGGCAAGTCCTTTTTCAACTTCGTTCTCAAACAGTGGCAGCCCGCGACAGGATTGGTGTCCTACCTGCCCAGGCGGCACTTGCTGTACTGTGCCTTCGCACCTGCCGAAGATGCACTTTTTGTGAAGCTGGGGTATCGTGCCCTTGGCGACAACAAGCCGGAGTCAGTGGTCAGGTATGTTGAGCAGAAAACCAGGAAGTTGCGTCTTACCAATGTTCTGGGTGCTGGACTATTTCTGATGCCTTTGCCAGACAGCCATGGCTGTTTTGATGCCCCGGAGAAAGCCGCAGAAGAGTCACTGAAGTCTGCCATTGGTTCCAGCCCACATCTACGAGCAAACCCAAGTGGTAGCAATGGCGAATTTGTGGCCTTCAGCGGTCTCTTGGAGTACTACTTCGTGAAAGCCAAAGGGAAAACAACGGCTTTACAAGCACTGGGAAATACACTTCGAGATTTCACGGGAAATCGGAATCTGAAGCCATTTCGTTCTGTGATGACTCCTGGACAAGTCAGAGCTGGCCGCACAAAATTGGTGGAATGGTCTGACTGGTACACTTTTCAACCCAACACGAAAGCATCGCCACCGCGGCTTCCATTGCCACGAGCATCGGCCCTGTTGAGCTGCCAGAAACTTGGAGCCTTCTCTCGGCGAGTCTCTCGGCGAGTCTCTCGTGGTGTCCGTAAACTCTCAAAACCACGCCCAGGAGCGATCTACAAAAAGCGACGCAAAGCGTGGTCTTGCCCACTGTGAACATTTGTGAGCTGTGTTGTGATATGTATTGCGAACTCATAATGAGACAATTTGAGATAATCGTGGTGCTTCAACGGTGCCACCATTTTGCCACCGTCATGACCCTGACCTATAGTTTTGCGATGGCCCAAAGTTGGACTTCCTTCGTCCATGGCCATTCAATTTCTTTTAATCCAATGCACTCTGTAGGTTTAATTAGGTTTATGTGCATTTCTTTGGCTTCTAGGGTTAACCCCCTGTGTCCAGAGAGGAATTCGCAGCTGGCTTGAATGACCATCGGCAGCTCAGACTCCCCCATGGCGTCAGGCCACTGCGAGCCAATGCTGAGCTGTTGAAAAAGCTGGGCAGCAGAGACACCAATCCCCATGAGGACTTTGATCCGGGGGATCTTTGTCATTGTGACAAGATAAGATGTCAAGGAGAGCCGTTTCAAGAACAGTGGGCCATAGAGGCTGCCAACACAATTGAAATGAGAAGGCCTTTGGGACAATGCATCTGCAGCTTGTAAAGCAGCGATAGTTTGGAGTATCATGGAGCAATCGGAAGTGCTGACCCATGCAGGGCCAGTTTCCTAGCAGAGATTGACGAATTGACGCCACTGCAGTTCTTTGCTTTGTTACACTGCGCAGATGGCAGACTTGAAGTAGCCAGCTTGTATCATCTGAGGTATCCCAACCCACACAGGTGCAGATGCCGTAGAGGGTCTACACTCTACACCTGTTGGCACATGTAAGATCATTCAAGTTTTGCTTCGATTTGTTTGGCATGACATGTTGACATGTTATGTTGTCAGGGGTGCAGATGAGCTTCGTGAGGAGGCTTTACGGAGGATCCAGGCTCGGCATTGTTCGGCCAAGAGGCAGCAGCTGCAGAGCTCGAGAGCCGCTGCAAGGTGGACAAAGCAGTGCGTACTGGAGCAGATGAGGATCTGCAGGTGACACGCCAAGAGCACAAGAGGTTGGATAGTTCAGAAAGGCGTGTGAACCTGATGTTTACGAGGATCCTGATGAACAACGGAAGCTGATGGAAGCAGCAGCGGCAAAGGCACACGCATCCTTTGCAATATTTAGATTTCTGCGTTTTTCTACATATTATCATATTCTGCATCATCACACCTAATATCAATGGAATCAATGGGACACCTTTGAATGGAGTCAGGGCACAGGAAAATTGCCTAGAATAATCTTGAATCTGAAATCTGAAGCGAAATGAGGACCTTGATAGGCACCCTGTGACTCTTGCAGGCAGCTGACGCAGCAGTCGCCATGGCGCTTGAAGACCAGGTGCTAAGTAAGCAGGCCTGACGCACTTGCAGCAGATGTCACTCAGGACATGAGGTAGTTGTGTCAAACATGTCTCTTGCACTTCAAATATGTATAGTATATGGAGCAGTGGCAGCCGAGCAAAGGTTCAATTTATCATGATTCAAGAGAATTCAAAGCCATTCAAAGCCAAAGCCACAACGCTTTTTGATACAACGCAGGTGTTGTGGCAAAAGGCCTTCATCACCGAAATGGCGAAGCAAAAGAATGCGATGCTTCAAACGGAGGCATTGCTACCTTGCCACCTTGCTCTGAATGCCCGGCATTTGCTTCATGATATACAATGATATACCATGATATACCATTGATCGCTTTCTGCACATTTGATAGGGTGTCACTCAGCAAAGTTAAACTGGTTAAACACCTGCTCTTGCAAATCCCTGGCCTTTTTTGCAGGCATTGCCCGAATCGGAATCCGAGACTTCAGAGGATCCAATGGAGGTCCTCAAACAGCTCTTGGAGAGCGTTGCGCCCTGCACTTCCACATATCCAGCCTGGCTGCCCAGCCCAGGCCCTGACACATGTCATAATGGACCAACAGGCTGCAGATAGGAGTGCTGTGGACAGACTGGATACGAATCCGGAGTGCCATGTGTTTTGATGGAATTCGTATGATTTGGTTATGCGTTGAAGACTCCATCCTGTCAACATGTTTACCAATTTATGCATTTTTTTTGCAGTTTCTTTTTTTAACCACCGTCGGGGATTAAGGTGTCAGTTTCTCAATCAACAGATCGACAGCGGGCCAGTGCCTGAAGAAGGTTGCTGAAACACTCTATATTATAGATATACATATCTACAATTTTCCTACAAGTATCCTGCAGATGATTCACAGATTTCACAGGTCTACTGCACTTTTCTTGCTTTTAGTAAGTCAGTGAGGTCCTTTCCAGATCTGCCAAGGTCGATGGGAAAGCTGATCGTTGGACACCTTTGAAGGGCCAGCAGTTGCTCGTAAAGCCAGCCACAGAGGAGGACTGTCGAAAACCATGGAGATGACGGTTCTGGACAAAACTCAGATCACATCCAAGTCATTCCAAGTCTATCAGTATGTGTGAAAGATTGTGGAAGAGCATTGACTGTCCAGTGGTCTAAGCACTTGAAGGATTGCATTCTTCTGGTGGCAAATGCGCTCATGACGCCCGAATCTGATAGAGAGGCGGTTGCTGTTTCGTTCTTTGTGCTCGGTGTTGCCAAGAAAGCAGCCTGCCAGGAATCCCATTGGCTTTTAAGACGAGATGGGAAATCAATTTCTTCATCCTTTTCCTCGCCCCTAGACTGCTACTGACTGTATCTCTGTGTGTTTGTTCTGCGCCTTGCCTTCTCTCAACGGCCAATTTGTACGCGGTGGAAGCAACACCCGAGGTACAGCAGGCAAAGATCCTGGAGTCATCACATCTGTCTTCCTTGGATGGATCAACCCCTGAAGCGAGCCGAGCTGGAATACCAGGCTCACTTTCATGATCATCCTTGATGCAGCTTGACACGGTTCCTTGCCTCGAGATATTTTCAGATGGCAGGTGGTTGCCCATGCTGGCAGGCGCGGCCGGTAGTGTGATTGCCTTGGAGATCTGTTAGTCAAACTTGTCAAACTAACTCAAACCTGCAGGGAAGCTTCGCATTTTGTTGTGGGGGAGAAGAAGGAGCGGAGGCAGGATGCTCAAACATGAAGACGACAGCCTGCAGCAGCTCTCTATTTCTTTAACTTGTTTTTTTTGCTGCTGTTTGCTAGGCAAATCTTTGGCCTTACCTTGCCGGTCCACCAGGTCTTCTGCTCGGAGTTTCTTTGCTTTTGTTCCGTGCAATCACCTTTTTGCCTTGGAGTCTTCTGAAGCTGACCCAATTGACTGGGGATCGATGATACCTCCGAGTTGCAGGTTTTTTGAATGATTTTGCAGCGGCTTTACGAAGCACCTCTCGCTTTCAGATGAATTTTCAGTGAGTTGAAGCAACTACCCAGCGGCCCAGCATCGTTCAGCATCCAGCCACTCGCCAGGTGTCGTGGGTTGAAGACGATGAAGTGCTGAGTCTTCCTCCTGGGCCGTGGCGAGACGTAAACGGATTACACGAGGCTGGGCTGCTGGGCTGTGCCCTCGGGTTTTTTTGATGGTTTAATGATGTGTCAATATGTTTTATATTTCACTGTAGTCTCGACCCATAAAGTCCAAAATCAGACAAGCTTCAGAGTGAACCTCTGAGGTGAGCCAAAAAAACAACTATATTGACTAGAAATTGCATGACATTGCATTGAGCATAGACCTGGCTGTCAACATGCACAGATCATTCCAGGTGATCACTACGTTGCCTGGTGACAGAGTGTTGGTGGTTTGCACCATGCACTACACGGCGAACTGGTCCAGCTCTGACCTTGGACCTCGTGCTGGAATTTGTGCTGAGCGAAAAGGGAGTAACTTTGCACGACTGTGGACGAAGGCGAACTGAGCAATCGCTGAGGTGAACTGAACCGGGGTCGATTCACAGTTGTCCGCTGGAGCCTTGAACTTCTTTGTTTTCAATTTTTTCAAACATCCCGCCATAGCCATAGAAATCGAAAGAACATGAAGAAACACTGTGAAAGCCTTGTGACTTTTGTCGAGGTGATGACTTGGGCCTCGATGGTTTGGCGGAAACTTGACACCGTACTGATGAAATGTGTCACATGGACCCGGAGTCTTAGGGCTATAGTGTTAGGGCATTAAGGCAGTGGGGCTATAGTGTTTGGCTGAGGACAGAGGATTGCAGTCTGTCCGTTCCCTTGGGCCGAGCCAACCACGAACGATGATTATGGTGCGCATGTCAAGTTGAAAATGAAGAGTGGAAGTGATAGAAACTGCATGTCACTTGGCGTGGAAGCAATTCCTTGGAGGCCACAGTCGATGAACCACCTCCTGGACCTCATCTCTACCGTGCCAGAGCGGCCTTAACGACGGGCGAGGAGTTTGAAACTTAGCCAGATAGCAGCGTTTGGCAGGTAGAATCATGTTGTACACAGGATACAGATTCATGATGCATTACTGCATGATGTTTGATGTGAAATGCAAGTTGTGAATCAGCTCCGTCTTCCGTCTGAAGCCACGAGTGGCTCTGGAAGTAAGATCCCTCCAAGTACTGCCAAACAGAGAACTCGAAAGCTACAATGGACGCCGGAGGTGTCGCTTGGCTCGTTCTTAGTGCACCCAGTTTGGATGAGTTAAGTTGTCAAGGAGTGCGCAGCTCAAGAAATGAGGAAGTATCAAGTCGAAATGTACAGCTTCAGGAGATGTCAGGAGCTTCTAGGCCTTAGAAAGTCAGAGCCAGGTCTCATGACCTTCCAAATGTTGCCATGAGGTGAAACTGGCAAAGGTCGAGAAGATCTTGGGACGAACCGGATCCCGTGGTGGTGTGATCCAAGTGCGTTGCTTGACTGTAACATTCCATGCGATCCCAGAATACTGATGTGCTTCATCATTTGGATTCTGAGGTAAAGAATGGAAAGATAATGAAAAAGACGGAAACCAAATGAAACAGATTGACGGATGTCTTTGAAGGGATCGCTACATCACTACGCAAGTTTTGAGAGGTTGGCCGGATTGGCGTTGCAAGGCGTTGTCTTCATGACAGAGACTGCTCCCGAGCTGGCTGGCCGATCCCTGATCCGAAATGTGAAGGGTCCCGTCCGAGAAGGTGCCCTCAGCTGAGGTAACTGCCGTAGAAACGCCGGAGTTTTCAAAGTCTCTACACTGGATGTGGAGATGGGTTAAAGCCTTTGATGCATATAAAACTAATACAAAACTATATAAAACTCAAATTAGTTTTATTTGAAATTATGAAAGTATTTGAATACATACAATTCATATTATACCATGTTTGGGGTATGAACATCCACTTAGCATCACTTGGCAGCTATTTTGATGTTCACCAGGGTCCCGGGTTTTGAAAGCTCCTACCATTGTGAGGAGACATCCTGGCCCTTCTGGAGACAGAGCGTGAAGCAAGAAGGCTGCGCTAAGGCTGCGCCAAGGAGATCAAGGACGCCATGAATTCTGTCATACCTTTAACATCCTTTTTTTTATATATATATCTATAATTAGATCCTTTTAGATCCTTTCAGATCCTTTAGGTACTAGCAGCTAGCATTCTTTTAGCATGATTTTGCATTCCTCTTCTCTATTTTTTGGACTCTTCAGGCATGTATTCTTGCATTGTCAAGCTTCGTCAGGACTGACCCGTTGGCATTTGAGACAAGCCAAATCATCGCAAGAGGGATAGAAAGAATGTGGCACGTTGCTGCGTGCAGACTGTAGGAACTGCCTGAGGAAATGCTTGGTGCAAACAATCTCATGTGAAATTGACTGGAAGTTGCAGAACATTCCAAGGTCTGGAGTGTCTTTGACGCTGCAGGGTGAAAGACAGCCCGGACCTTTTTTTCCCCAATATTGATCCACGAGTTTTCCCCAGTGGTCGAGTCGTTGTGTCTTGTAGCGTAGCAAGTCGTCTGGGTGTGGCGTGCAGGTGGTGATTTGATGTTTGAGCATGGTTGACAAATGTTGACAACATGAGCACTGAGCATAATTGTGAGACTTTTAGCTTTCAGGCTTTCATGCCGAGGTTGACGCTTATTCGATTGCCTGGGAATCTTGTGACAGGGTGCCAGCCTTGTTTATTTATCTTCATTTATATCAACAAGATGGGACATAGAAACACGCTCGCTCAGAGAACAAAACATCTCTAGACTGCCATGATGGTCATTCAGGAACAACATGAAAAGCACATCCCAGTGCCACAGCAATGTTCCATCGGTTTGGCAAAGGTTGCGCATGCTGCTGAGGCCCATGAGACCGATCGAACCGGTGGAGATCCATGATGGAACTTGGACGGAGATACCTGGAATGTTCGCATCATGCAGCTTGAGGAGCGAACAGAATCAGAGTTCCCTGAAGTTCCAAGATGTTCCAAGGGCAAATGCAGAGCCAAACTCTGGTAAGCAGCAACCAAAACCCGAAATGTTTATGCTTTCACTGCTGGTTAAACTCTAATTTTTACTGTATCAATTTATCGGGGTCTATGGCACTGGATGATTTCAGAATCCCAGTAACCAATCAGTTCCAGGGATCGATGTGAGGATTTTCGCCACTTGAAGGGTCGGTTGCCTACAGATCAGGAGACCTAGAGACCGTGTGCTTCTCGTGTCAGGCTCCCAGCTTGCTAGACTCAAAGTGTTGCCGCAGCTGCCAGACAGGGCAACTTCCATGATGTTCCATGATGCTTCGGAGTGCCCTATCTCGTTGAACCTCCAAGGTATCACATTGATTGCAACCCACAAGACTACTTCTATGAAGCCCACTTCACAATTTTCAGAAGAAAGGACGGATTTTCAACGTGCTGGGGATAGCTAGGCAGGCGAAAGGTATTGTAAGGAGGCTGGAAAAATGGCAGCAAATAAAGCAAGGAAACCGTTCCTGAACGCAGTTTGGAAAGGAGCACTTCAACATGACCACATCACTATTTGTGTCCTTCTGTATGCCAAATCTTCTTGCAGCCTTTTGCTTGTGAATGTGCTTTTGATCTTTTTTTTGACCAAGTTCATACTAGACTAGATGTTCGCACAAGCTACTGTATCACACCAACATTGCCGTGCCCATTTTTGTGAATATTCCTCAATGTTCCTGGTGTTGCTGCTGCTGCTGCTGCCAGGAGGGCGCTATCTCCTCTGACCAGAACCTGGGCTTTTCTGAGGAGATACTGTCGGGGGAGACATCAGATGAGACTCACATGATTTAGAAATGTTCGGAATGTCTTGTGCTTGGAGGAGTTCGGCCTCGACATGGTGGCCTGCTCAGGCAGAAATTGCTGTTCAAAACCATGTAAAAAAGTAAAACCAATTGAAGAGTTTTGATGACTTTTGATGACTCAGGTCTTCTCTGACTATGGTGCTTCTAGCGAATACCCAGCAGGACTTTTGATAGACACTCCAGGTTCACAAGGCCAGGAACATGTCACACGACATCACGCGACCACTTCGCATCACTCGTCCGGGGATGATTTTTGCAGCTTCCGGTGCCAGGTCCATGGACCTACTATTTGGCCGCGCGAGTAGCCAATCTTGGCACAACTTCGGAGAACCCATCAGTAGTTGTAGGTTATTCAGGATCGTTATTTGGAATGGTCCTGTCAGCTTCGAGATGAGAAAAGGAAAGCAAATGCCTATGTGAAGAAATCAATCCTTCAATGCCCCTGTCTCTGTTGCTTGCAAATCCCTTCATCTGCTTGGTCTTTGTTGAGAAGAGATCCACAATCGAAAACATGTCATGTGTTGACATCCATGTTAGAAAGGCATGTTAGCCTTGCTCCGCAATGCTATTTCTTCAGCAATCTGGGAGTGGCCATCCTGTGAGCCTCCCCGAGTGCTGGCAGGTGGGGGTTTCTATGTGTGAGATTCCGGCTAAAGAGTTTGTTTCTGGGCCCTTTCAAAGATCTCACACACCACCTTTCTGCGGGATAACAGATAGAGCAGACATCAGGATGCGGCCCTTTAGCAGAGCTGCAGTTGTCTCCTCAGATGCGGAACAAGTTTGCAAGTTTAGTCTGACCGCAGAACGATTCAGGCGCCAGAACCGCTGGGAACCGAGGTGGCAGCTCTGGGTGTGGCACTAGTTTGGCTGACCAGCACCGCCTTCACCAGTCCCGTGCTGAAAGGTTGAAGTGATTTCATCAAGATGTCCAGAATTGTCCAGAATTGTCCAGATGTCATGCCGACATTGACCTTGCAAACGAAATCTCAGGTCCATTGGCGCAGTCTCCTTTGCAGCTCTTAGCTCAGTTGATGCTCAAACCGTTATGGTTGATGGATCAGCCGCTTTGCACGCATTCAATCCAATTTGTGCGCCTTTCGGTTTTCCGTTGAGGCAGCTTGAATCACGACAGGGCTTCCAACCTCGTTTGGCTGCAAGTGAAGGTTCCTGTGTTCTCTTCCCCACTTCAAGAGTAGTGGGTCTTCTATGGAACAGGTTTGGAATTTGTCATCATGAATCAAATCCGAAAGGGTGAACGATGCCTTGGCAGCTGCAAAAGCCAGACACAGCAATGCAGGCAGCGGCTCTTTCGCTGGACAGTCGTCCTTGCCTCAACACAGGAATTCCATGGCACGATGTCCAGAAGCACAAGAGCACTCAAGAGATTTCAAACCATTCAACGCACTCAAATTACCCAAAGCACTGAAAGCATCTCAAAGGTCTTTCGATGTCTTTACGCTTTCGCGTGGTTTCGCCAGGTCCACCTTCTCCAGTGCAGTTGCCTTTCCAGGGTGTGCTATCGGAGCCAAGCTCAGAAATCATGGTGTGCAAGAGGCAAAGCTGCAATGCGTGATGTCTGTGGATGTTGTGATATTTCATGATATTTCATGATATTTTTGCTTTTGACATCCTTCACAAGATTCACACGATGATAAACTTTCCTAAGGCCTGGCTACTTTGGTGACGCTCGAATCCTCAGTAGATTTGCTTGAACTGAAGTTGATACTCTGCCCTGACTTGATGACTGGTCTTTGACAAATCCTCAAACGTTGCAGGCGTCGGAATGGCATGGCATTCTAAGTTTCTAAGGCTTTTCGGCAAGTGGTCAAACAAACATCGTCAACGCTGGCGTAAGGCTGTCAGATGCCTACAACGCAATACGAGCGTACAACGATTTGATGAAATGATTTAGGTTTAATCTGCAAAGATAGTGCTTCAAGTGGCTGCACATGCGGCTTCCGGTTTCGGCGTCTTGGTGTTGCGATTGCATCGTTCTTGCGTGATTCTTTTGCCTTGGCCTGTGTTGTGTCGGCCTCTGTCAAGACACGGCAAGTCTGGACAGATTCCAAGGTCAACAGTGAGAATCGAGGAAGGCAAGGCTACAAAGCTGACAGACGGTATAGCTCCAAGTTGACTTTCGGTGAGTGGAGCAAAGTGGCTGCTTGTTAGGTAAGTGACCGAAAGTGACAAATGATCTGCCATGCTGCAACAAAGGCCTCCCTTGTTTGGACCTGAGAAGCCCCCACATGAGAAGAAGAAGATGTACCACTACTACTGCAACAAGATCTACAAGGCTCACAGCATCCACAATTTATTTCGACAATGTCAGCTATTGTGGACTGTTCAATTCTTTCTTTGGCTGGGCCAGGTGATTCGATTTGCCAATCCAGATGGGGTTGAGATGGCACCAACGAGTTGGCGTCTGAATCTGCTCTGATGCAATGCACGATATGCGTGGGACAACATGCTTAGAGATGCAATGCTGCATGGACTGAGGCCAACCAAAGACTTGGATTGAGAAATTTTCGCGTCCAGGCCTGGCAAAGATTGCCACCGCCATTTGTGCGTCTGCTTCTTTGTGGCTGGGGCAACGCTTGCTATGATAGCACATCGTCTCACGGTGAAAAAGGAAACAGGCCGCCTTTCACCTTTGTAACATATCTAGGGAGGGGCTTCCTCCAGTCATATCCCGTCCAATTTGTATTTTGCCATGTGTTCAAAATGCTGTGGTCATGTTTGGTCTTTTTATTGGTTTGTAAAGGTTTGTTTGGGATGAACTCTCATCAAGACGATGATTTTACTGATCTTTACTGACCCAAAAAGTTGTGGACCAACATCATGCTTACTGCCAGCTTCAACTTCCATCGACTGGGATTTGCTGATCTGTTAAGCCAGGGGATCCTGTACCTCGCTGCACCCAAGGAAGTCAGAAGACGATGTCAATTTTTTCGTTCATTCTGCTGTGTGGCTTGTCTCCATTGACTTCGCGACGGATTGATGTGATCTGTTTGTGACTTTTTCCCCTGGTCCAGAGGGCCAGCGAGACTGGATGCATCTAGACCTGTGTATCTGGACAACTGTTGGCTCAAAGATGAGTTGCAAGCAATGATCAAAGCGTTCAGACCAGCATGGGCTGCGCTCGGGCTGTTATGTTTTACAAATGAAGCAGGCCGCACGGCCGCACGGACAATTTGTAGTGCTGTGTCAGGCCAGCTCGAATGACAGGTCTTGGCAGGTGACCAGTGTTGACAGCTTTGCTATTGCTTTGCTCTTCATTTTCAGATGTGTTGGAGTCTGTTGGAGGTGCCACAAGTCTGAGACGAGACGTGAAAGCCGGTTCTCTTTGCGAGTTTGCTGAGAAGGAGCCGCTTCTGTCATGTAAGAAGGCGGGCTGAAAGTCAAGTTATATAATGTTATGTTATATATATATACCAAGTTCTCTGTTTTCATTGTCTATTGGACAGAGGCCAGATGCCTTCATGAAACTGAGAAGATTGTAATGGAATGATCTACCGCCCTTTTTGACAAGACTTCTTATGAGCTAAAACGAAGTTCCACGGATCCGTGGACTGCCGAATCCTTGCAAAGTGGCCTCTCAGCAGGTCGCTGCGGGCGGATCCTCGTGGCAGCTGGGCAGCATTCAAAGTTTGATCTGATTTGTTCGAAAGCACTTGGTCAGAGTGTGCCCCTGGGCGTCCCTGAGATTAATAGTATTTAATAGTCTTCCTTTACCTTCGAGAAGGGAGTTTGTATGACTAATTTCGAGTTGCAGAGGTAGAGAAGCGGAGAGGAAGCTTGGTCATTTGGTGGTTTACAATCTCATCTGAAAACAAAGAATGGCCTGGTCAAACCACACATCCAAATTCAAACTGAGCCGAACTCGAACCTGAAGTGGACACTGCCCTGGCAAGAACCTGAAACAGCTTCCCACCTAGACCCGAATTCAAAACGAATACACACAGTACATCACCGGACATTTGGTACACCACTGTACCTCAACCAAACTTAAAACCTCCAAATGCTCTTCCAGCATTGTTGAGATGATGTTGGCAGAATCATTGGCCAAATCCCCTTTGATGCAAGTTTCGACTGGTTAATAGAGACAATGCACGCAGGGAGCGCTACAGATCAATACTCCGTACAATCAGCACGAGAAGCCTACGTACACCGAAGGCATACCATCATGGCGTGAAATCTCACACTTCGAGATCCCACTCCTGTACCGGGGGAGGCCAACTGCCTTAATGATTTTTTAATTTTGCTTGTGAGACTGGGTGCAAGAATCCCTTGGGCTCCAATCTACCCTTCTAGAATCCCCTACCTGCGGAAGCTCAGCAGACACCGAACATAGCTCAACCAACGCTTTTTCAATCCGTTGCCAGAAGATGTCAATAGTGACAGAAGACGACAGAAGAATCTTTCCAGCACCAGCTTGGTCCAGGAATGCGAATCTCCACGAGGCATGGCATCAACTTTGCCAGGTACAAGCCCCAGTCGGCAGGTGGGGCATTTCTGCGAAAGCGGCCAACAAAAACAACACAAGCAGCGACTTGTCAGCTCAGGACAGTCAAACTTCACCCTACATGGAAGTTTTCCTGGACAAGCGCTTCAAGGAAAACTACCACCATGCTTCGGCCTTAGTTCAGAACTGGAGTTCATGCAAGACATGTACATAGTCAAACCACGTCGAACCAATCGAATCGAGATCACATTATCCGCCATGACCATCCAAGACCATCTCAGATCTTCTCAGGTCTACAAATCGGATGGTTGGGCAGATTCTGCATGGGTCAACTATGTGGCGGTAAAGAAATCCGGAGGCACCGCTCTTTTTGAGTTCACCTTTAAGAGACCTTGTAGCGGACGCATTGCGAGGTGTCTTTGGGAAGCTTACTGCGGCTCAGATGCATTTGTCCTATTGATCCTTAAAGAAGTGCTGTATGCAGTGACTTTGACATGCAGAAAGTGTGCCTGGAAGGAAAGGTTGGTGGAATCAATTCACCGTTTCTCGCAGCACCCAATCATCGTGGTGAATTTCGGACAGGAGGCCTTTTGCTGAACGCAAACGAATGGTGATTACGTACAACCTGCAAACGTTGGCTTCACAAACACTGGCATGACCATCCATTATATACTGTAATTAACAGTTATCTTGCCATGTCTTGCCATTCAAGTCTCCATCTTAATTGTTTTTGGGCCTTAGTCCTTTGATTGCAGCCCATTTCATGCTGCTCGTTGCACATCTCATTGGATTCATGGTGTCCTGAAGGCACCAGAGGAGCTGTCTCCTCGAAGATTCCCGCGATTGGTGTGCCCTGGCTGCCGACACCTTTGGAGCATCGACACAGGCATGATAAAGCTGATAAAGATATATAAAGATGTCTTCTGAGAACTTGTTGACTCCTAGTGGTTAAGAACGATTAAGAAGGTCATGGAAGTCACAACAGATCATAAACTATCCTGACAAAGTGCTGCCTCAGTCGTTGAGACGACGAGGCTGCTTCATGCTCGTGGTTTCGACCCGGCTCTTCGTTTATCCTTCAACTTCAACAAGCTAAGAGCCATTCTGTTGGCTCAGGCACCCCAGTGCAACAACTTCTGAGAGATGTCAGTTTACCTGCGCTTTGCGTTGCAACAGATCCACTCAGTACTGTAGTCATGAGCAGCACATAATGGCACATGATGTACTCGTACCCATCCGTCTTCCGAACCGTTGTCTACTTGTTTGAGGCCAAAGTTGGAGCATCACTGGATTCAGACACTTGGGAAGTCAATGGATTTCTCAATATGGATGATGACTTTCCATGCAGTGTGTCATCCGAAATCAAAGACCGATGATGTGAACCCAACTCACAGTTCTCGGGACTGGTGGGCAGCGGCTAAAGATTTCCTGAGGACATGCTCTTGGTCGGCCCTCAAGCTGATCAACTCCTGAATCGCACTGCTGAGGAGATCACCGAAAAGTAACTCTGCCAGAAAGGGTCGCCTGAAGGGTACCGGGTATTGTTCTGAAAGATTTGAAAGGCAGCCGTGTTGGGCATTTGAGGTATAGATTCCCCATGATGCCCACGCATTTTCTTGATCGGGACCTCCGAGACAAGAACTCCGGCAAGGTGCAGACTCCGGAATCATCTGCAGCTAATGTAGAATCATTTGCTGTAAAATGAATGCAATGACTTGGAATTCAAGACTTGAAGATTTTGAGCAAGTGCTATAGCTACTACATTTTGTCAGGGCAACTTCTTGCCGTACAGCTGCAAGAATTGCCCGGAACCAACTATGCGATGGGGCCAGGCAGGATGGTGGTGATTCAACAACATTGTTTGTAGCATCCGCTGGGTGAGCGGCGATCGTTGCAGGCGCAGCCAACATGGACTCACTGGTCTTTCCCCTTTGTCAGCCGGTGGCTCACCGCGAAGATGAAAGGCCCTACCCCATGAGGAGAAAGCAACATGACAAGTCACAGAAGAAATCCCGGTGTCCGGTTGTTTTGCATCGGAAGCCCCTGTAAATTTTGTGCCTGTTAGGAGCTTCTTGTTGAGCGGTATTGCCATCAGATACAAAATCACAATTAGATGAACTTGGGAAGTCCCAGTACAAGAAGTTCAAACATTTCCATTTTGTACTACTGGTTGTATCTGGTTGTTCTACGTTGTGGGAGTTTCCCAGTTTCCCATTTCTTGAGAAGACTTCTTTTTCTGGACTGCTCCTCATTCATGGCATCTCATCCCAGCTCAATCCGAGTTGCTCCAATCCCTGTCAGGGAGATCCCAGAATGGTGTGCCAACTGATGACATTGCGGAGGATGAGGATTTGTTAAACGTTGCCTTGTGGCATCCCAGCTGCAAATCACATCAGAAGCATGTGAAATCACATCAGAAGCCATGATTCCAACTGCAGAGGGTTGGTCGCAGCTCAGGTCTGAAGGTGCGACCAAATCTTGGTGTGCCCTGGCGTTGTAGTCCTGGTATTGTCAGATATTGATAGATATTGCTAGTATAGCTGTATAGTTGATGATTTTGCAAGCTGCTTGCATCCCTTCGAAGGGTTTCTTTCTCCTGGCTGGAGCTGCTCCAGGTGCTTTCCAGACAGGCTTGATGGATCTTGATCCATTCCGTTCAGATCCCATTCAGATCCATTCAGTGTCCCAGTCCTGTTGCAGGCGGCATCAATTTCCTGTGGGAAAATTTGTATCCTCAGCATCCTCCTGGGCCATATCCTTACTATGAGGATCCGCGGTACTTCCCTGCAGGCACTGCATGTACTTCAGAGATCTTTATACATTTAACCTGTCATGCCTTTTATGAGTCCCTCAAGCTGAACGTTTTGTATAGGTTTCTCTACGTTTTTGTTTTTTCCGAGAGGTATTCCTGTGGCCTTCTGGTTTGGACATGCAGAGAAGGACCGCTGGAAACAGCTGTCTCAGCTCTCAGCGCTCGGTTCAGTTTTATTTGCAGTTTCAAATTTATCTACCGTTTGGCATCCTTTGCCTTGCTTCCAGAACCGATTGTTGGCAGGATCCTGCTCACATTGACAATGCCCTGACATTCCTATCAGATTCATCAAGGATCAACACACAACCTCCAAAGCCATTTTATCACAACATGTGCCATACTTAGATTATCTTAGATTCTTCTCCAAGATTCAGCACTGTTGAGACCTGACCGACCTGACCAATCCGGCTCCCAGTCTTTTTCCCCAATCTTGCTAAGGACCTTTTTTGCAAGTTTCAAAGAGCTCAAACAGGACAGGGGCTTGATCAGTAATGTTAGTCTTGTCCTTTTCTCCATTTGCAATGGATAGCATTGATCTTGCTTGTGGCACGCAATAGTTCCAAAAATGTTCCTTGATGATTGGTGACTGAGGCTTATCCAGACCTGAAGTGCACTCTCTAGCTCTAGCGTGGAAACTTCGCGTGAGCCAAACGGCACCAGAGTGCGAACAAAGAAAGTGTTTTCGGTTGCGTTGACACTCGCATATATACCGTACAAGTCACAGGGCAGTGTCAATGGGGTGCAAAGCAGGATATTGGAACTGAATCTGGTGGGCAGAATTCTATCCTCAGACCATCCAGCATAGCCTCACATATAATCAGCCGATCAGTTTCAAAAAATATCAGAAAATAGTCAGTACGCTGATGCTGATAGGGGATATACTACTGTACCCAATATTGTAGAGCTGCAGACACCGGCGATGCCACAAGGGCTACTGATACCCCGCCGGTTAGCTGTTGTTGTTGTTGTTGTTGTTGTTGTTGTTGTTGTTGTTGTTGTTGTTGTTGTTGTTGTTCTTGTTCACGGTATTCACGATCATTTTTGCCACTAGTGTCAAAACCAGTTTTCAGCATGTCGGAAGAAATAGGTTTTCCATGCAAAAGTTGCAAAAAGCACACAAAAAAAGCAAACATGACCAACAACTCTCCAAAGTCGACCTTCCAGACCCTATTTAGCTGCAAGCACGTTTTAGCCATGTTCCGTGGAGTTTTGACCACCCCCTTGTGCTTCTGCAGCGGGCTCTGTGCAGTTGAAAGCACATTCACAGCTTCAGGACTTTGGACACCCCATTTTTTCCCACTTGTAAATTAGAGGCATAAAGCTGACTAGGTAGACTACTTTCTCTAAGGTGAATAATTTCCAGGCATTGTCAGGACAAGTGTGCATTTTGTTTGGTCAATTCCAGTGGCAAGCATCTCTCAACATGACGTGGGTCGCGATTGATTGTGGCCCACATGTACGCCACAATGTACGCCGGGTACATGGCCAGCTGGAAGCGTGGATGCTTCTTGGCTTGCGGTGTTAGTTGGAGGCATTTTCTGAAGAAATATTCACCAGCCAAGAATTGCTTGAAACATCTTGAAGGCATTTCTGCTGTTTGTATCTATTTGTAGCGATTGCTTGAGGCATTTTCTTCCCGCGTTCCAACTCTGTCTTCTCCAGCAGCGGGTACAGGACTCCAGACTTTACGCTTCACTCGCCACACTTTACACTTTACACTCTACACTTTACACTCCACTCTCCGCACTTTACACGTTACACTCTACACTCTATACTTTACTCTACTCTCCACACTCCACACTCCACACGCCACACTCTTTACACTACACTCCACACTTTACATTTCACACTCTACACTTTACACTCCACACTCCACACTTTACACTTTACACTGTATACTCCACACTTTACACTTTACACTTTACACTCCACACTTTACACTTTCCAGTAGTACCGCACAAGGCGGTGGCGGAAGTTTCAAAAATAGGAAACCTATAGGAGAGATTGGTTGTTGTGAATCAGGGATGGCAGAGCGAACCCGCTGATGGGCCGAAAGGTGCTTGAGGTCTCCTCTCTTTCTCTCTCTTTCTCTGACTATCTACCCACCTACCAACCTATCTTCTATGTATCTATCGATCGATCGATCGATCGATCTATCACTCATTGACTCACTCCCTCCCTCACTCACTCACTCACTCAGTCAGTCAATCACTCACTCACTCACTCACTCTCTCACTCACTCTCTCACTCACTCTCTCACTCACTCTCTCACTCACTCTCTCACTCACTCTCTCTCACTCTCACTCACTCTCACTCACTCTCACTCACTCTCACTCACTCTCACTCACTCTCACTCACTCTCACTCACTCTCACTCACTCTCACTCACTCTCACTCACTCTCACTCACTCTCACTCACTCTCACTCACTCTCACTCACTCTCACTCACTCTCACTCACTCTCACTCCCTCTCACTCACTCTCACTCACTCTCACTCACTCTCACTCCCTCTCACTCTCACTCACTCTCACTCACTCTCACTCACTCTCACTCACTCTCACTCACTCTCACTCACTCTCACTCACTCTCACTCACTCTCACTCACTCTCACTCACTCTCACTCACTCTCACTCACTCTCACTCACTCTCACTCACTCTCACTCACTCTCCTCAACTCTCACTCAACTCTCAGCTCTCACTCACTCACTCACTCACTCACTCTCATCACTCTCACACTCACTCACTCACTCACTCACCCACTCACTCACTCACTCACTCACTCACTCACTCACTCACTCACTCACTCACTCACTCACTCACTCACTCACTCACTCCACTCACTCCATCACTCACTCACTCCACTCACTCCACTCACTCCACTCACTCCACTCACTCCACTCACTCCACTCACTCCACTCACTCCACTCCACTCCACTCCACTCCACTCAACTCAACTCAACTCAACTCAACTCAACTCAACTCAACTCAACTCACTCACTCACTCACTCACTCACTCTCTCACTCTCTCTCTCACTCACTCTCTCTCACTCACTCACTCTCACTCACTCTCACTCACTCTCACTCACTCTCACTCACTCTCACTCACTCTCACTCACTCACTCACTCACTCACTCACTCACTCACTCACTCACTCACTCACTCACTCCACTCACTCACTCACTCACTCCACTCACTCACTCTCACCACTCTCTCTCAACTCACTCCCACTCACTCACTCACTCACTCACTCAACTCACTCACTCAACTCACTCAACTCCACTCAACTCCACTCAACTCACTCAACTCAACTCAACTCAACTCAACTCAACTCAACTCAACTCAACTCAACTCAACTCAACTCAACTCAACTCACTCACTCACTCACTCACTCACTCACTCACTCACTCACTCACTCACTCACACTCTCACTCTCACTCTCACCCTCACTCTCACCCTCACTCTCACCCTCACTCTCACTCTCACTCCCACTCTCACTTTCACTCACACTACAACTACACCGCAACTAGCCCACAACAGCTTCAACTTCAACTATACTACAACTACAGCTACAGCTACCTACACCACACCACACCACGCCACGCTACATTCAGCAGTTGCGGGCGAGGTGACCACTGCAACCACTCCAAAAAGCACAACTCCAACCACGTTTCAGTCCATCAGCGGATTCGCTCTGCCATCCATGCATCACAACAACTCCCCTCTCCCACAATCTCCTATAGTCCTCTAGTTGTCTATCCTTGAAACTTCCGCCACCGCCTTGTGCGGCACTACTGGTGCCCTTTCTTCATGCGCTTGGTCTTCTTTAATTCCATCTATTACCTTTTCCCACTTTCCTTTCGCGTTGCCCTTTCTTGGCCTGAGTTTGCCCCTTTGCTGTTACGTTTTACGTTCTCGTTTCAAGTTCATTTTCTTGTGTTTGCGGCTTTGATTTGGACCATGTCAAGACAAAACCTGGGAGCGTTTCCTCAATGTTCAAACATCTTAACGTTGCTCATTTGATTTTTTATAATTGGAATGTTGCGCATACATTGGTCAGACATTTGTCTTTGAACACTCTTCCCGGCGCTTTTTAAGAACCTCGAGATGTCCTGCAGTGAGTTTGCTGGAGTTATCCCTGTTGCAGGAGGCCCGGTGTGTACAATGAATTTTATATACATAGATCATGTAGAATGTTGTTGGTATTATTGTACTATATATTTTGGTGGTTCCCATTGCTGATTGAATTTCATTACCATCTCAAAGCCTGATTTTTTGGGGGTTGCAATAGTTTCGCCTGATATTATATATATATATACATGTACATATAGAGTAATATGTATATATACATACAATATATAGCAGCCTGCTAGCAGTTAGAATAATCCAAAATAATACGTCAGCAGTTAGAAATCTCCAAAATGATACACAGTTCGTCTTCGAATATTCGGAAAACATTAGCAGTTAGAATATTCGAAAGTCACATGAATCAATTCATCTCCTTGTTCTATTTAGCAACTATTTAGCAGCTGTTTAGCACCTATTCAGCAGCAATTTAGCAGCTATTTAGAAACTATTTAGCAGCTATTTAGAAGCTATTTATCAGTTATTCAGCAGCTATTTAGAAGCTATTTAGCAACTATTTGGCAGCTATTTAGCAGGTATTCAGAAACTATTTAGCAGATATTCAGCAACTATTTTAGACCTATTTAGCAAAAAACAACAGCTATTTAGCAGCTATTCAATAGCTATTTAGCAGCTATTCAACAGCTATTGAGAAACAATTTGACAGCTATTTAGTAACTCCTTGGCAGATATTTAGCAGCCATTTAGTAATTATTTATCAACTATTTTGAAACTACTTAGCAGTTATTCAGCACCTATTTTTAGAAACTATTTAGCAGTATTCAGCAACTATTTAGCAACTACTTAGCAGCATTTAGCAGCTATACAGCTATTTAATGTTACTTAGCAACTATTTAGCAGCTATTTCAAAAATGTATTGTTTCCAAAAACACTTCAAAAAGTAATGTTTTTATTCATATCTAGGGTTGTGCTGGAGATACTCTGTGTGTGAAGCCAGCTACTTCTATGTATGTGAGACCAAGGGTCCACTTTCTGGCTCTCCCCTAGGGGGGCAAACCTAGATTGAAGAGCCCAGAAAGTTGGAATGCATCACCCGACACATGGTTGCATAGCTTTTTCCGAGGGCATGCCAAGATAGTTTGCCCTGAAAAACCTTTATGTATCAAAGCCCAAGTGCTTTGTGCAACACAACACGGTGTTGATGTTACAGTGGATTCGGGTTGCTTGGAGTAGCATTTTTTGCTCCAACATGTTTGATGCATGGATTTTTTTTGGGATATATTATGAAAAAAAAGTTATGCATAAAGGAAAAAAAGGTGATTTCATTACTATTGGGCACTGTAAACCTATTACTGCCAGCTCACAAAAACAATATGCATGTTTCCCGAAGTCTGAAAACATGAGTCCAGAGATGCTAAAAGAACATGCATTGAATATGTTAAACTTATAAAACGACAGTCTAAAATATCTTAAATATCATCTTGGACTTGTATCCAAGACATGCTTCCATTGACGGGGCGTGATGTATCTGTGCGGCTTCGTCGCTTGCTGCAAACTTCACAGCTGGTTGAGCGTGATGGCGAGAGATTG